CTCAAGGCGAGCACGAGCCACGCACTGCATGAAGTCCCCGAGTCAAACATGGTCAATTCCACTCAATGGAGGGATTGGGCTAAGCATGCGGACGAAAACACAAATACACCCAACTCCAACATTGTGCCTCCTCTCCTCCTGCTCCCCTTTTTTTCCTCTAGCACAGTTGTAGTTATCGTCATTATTCCTGTTATTATTACCATTCTATTTCCCCGACCACCACCATTCCAAACCTCACCATTGACATCCTCCTTCCAAATGCACGCTTGGTTTATGCGCGAGATACAAGGTGCATCGAAGTTATGCCCATTCCACACCATGCATTGCTAGTGTTGCGTGTCAGACGCGAATTTCGATGTTCTCATCATGGCAGCGGACAGTGGAAACCACATAAGGTTTGCTATAGCTCGTGGTCTGTGCCAATCAACGGGACGGATTGGAAGTCAAAGTTGGCCCCAACCAAACCCGACTTAACCCACACAGCCTTGGCAGCACAGCTCTTGCGCCTTCAAGAAGGCAGTTTGTTGAAGGAGAAGAGAACAAACGAAGAAGCAGAGACATTGCGTTGAATAATGTACGTACCGGTAGTAGGGGGCGGATCAATGCGCATCATCCCAGAGTTGCGGAGACCCGAGGGCGGACTGAGAAACCAGTCCGAGCGTTTCTGCAATCGCTCTAATTGTCGCTTCCTCACCGAATTGAAACACGAACCGTACACTGCTGCAGCACCAGAGCCATTGAACTGAAAGTGGAAACGCAGAAGCAGTGTCTTTCAATCGTGAATGACGCAACTCCAGGTGGAGCGAACTCTCCAATGCGTAATAGCATCATTCATTGCTCTCATGTCTCGTCACACGGGACCACTGCCTCGCATAAAGGGTTTGTGATACGATGTGGGAGGTGCTGAATCACTGCACCACCTATAACCCACGAGATCTGTGCTCTTTCTCGATGACATGATGTGTGTGTGTGTGTGTGTGTGTATGCGGATATTCGGAGACGAAGGGAAGGGGGAGGGGATGGAGATGGGTTGGAGTCAGTCAGGGGACGGAAGGGCGATAGCAGCTCATGACTGTGAGAATTGAAAGTATAAGTGTCGGGAGAGGTGGGGACGAGGCGCAGTTTGCAGAAATGGGATTAATCAAGTAAGGTGAGTTGGATTGGGATGGGTAAGGAAAGGAGAGCGCAAGAGAGATGACCCTTCACCACATTCATGCCACTTGGTGCAACTGCAAGGCACATGCCCATTGAACCACAATTACACCTCAGCTTGATTGTTCTAATATTGAACTACGACGAATATCTCCGCTTCTCTTTCCTCGTGGTCACGAATTTTTCACCATCGTCATGACCCGAGCGTCAGCAGTAGGAAAAGGGAGTTTATTTAAACTGAGGGAAGGGATTACAATGCTGAATTATGGGGGACCAAGATTTCCACACCGTCAGATGACATGACTATTGTATGGATGAATGATGAGCTAAGCCAAGTAGGGGGAGGGGATTTGTCGTTACGTTCTAAACAGAGGGGAATCTCCATAAAAAATGCAAGTCTACCATAGTAAAATCAATTCTGACGAACAAAGTATTTGACGTGTTCCAACGCGATGTGTCACGTTAACCTTATCTTTTTAGTCAGATTTCACGCTAGCCTATGAAAAACACTTCGAAGAGGTGACAGTGCTCAACTTGTTATTGTTGTTAAAACTTATAATAATATGATGCGGACTGCATTGAGCCAATCTTTTGACTCCAGGAGAGTAAAATAAAGCGCTTATTAGTACTCCTTAAAAAGGTGCTGTCATCGTGACCCAGAAATTTTGCTTACTTTTACTAAGTGGTTACTAAATAAATAAATGTGAGGGACTGATTGTAAGCTGTCCCTAAACACCACTAGCTAAAATGTAACTACTTCATATCCATCAGCCAAAGTTCTACTTAAGGGTGGCTGAGGCGTAGGTCTAGAATCGAAACCGGCAGAGGACCGACCAATTCTGGTGTAATGGAAATAAAACACTTAAAATATGAATTGCAGTTCCTGCCCAAATCCAAATGTTTGGCTTAAAACCATTAAGATAAAGCACATAGCCCAGGACCCTCACCAACAAAGCACAGCAACAGGCAAAGTGAAAATACAGTGTGGTGTCGAAAATGAAAACCAATTTCACTCGTAAGTCGACAGGCTAGTATCAATTAGAATTTACCGAAAGAAGCCTGATGAGAAATCGGGACAAAATTGATCAGAAACAGAAGAAAAATAAGCAAGCAAATGGAAATCAAGTACAATTAACGCTGGATGTGACGATAAGTGCACGGAGGGGGAAGTAATGTTGAAGCCAAGCTCTACTCATGCTAATATAAGGAATTGGAAAATGAGACCTTACGCAAACTAACAAAAAAATTGAAATACACTTTGAAAATCATGCGTCAAACGAAGTGAGCTTATTGAAGGAGAAGACACACCTCGAAGGCAAATTGCTTGACAGCTATGCCTTTAAGAGGCAGGTCAGGGTAAGGGATAGTAAGACATGGAGGGTTATGAAGAGTTTAGAGTGAGTGATCAAAGGATCAGAGTAAGCGAACGTACGCGAGAGGATTCTTGGGCACTCGAAATGTCATCGATTTCAGAGAGGGAGTCGTATTGGCGTCCAAGGATACCGCAAATTCGTTCGGCGGGACCCTGTAAACTCTCCACCATACCACTGCTGTCGCGTCGGCGGAAACGCGAGTCGCTGGCGTCGGTGGGAGTGGCGGTAACGCAGGTACGCTTCTCCGAGTATTGCTGAACCCGGTCGATGCGGTGATGGTGGAGGCGGAAATGGTTTAAATGCCCTGGTCTTCCGTCCTCTACTTTAGAAAACGAAGGCACTCAGTTCTGCATTCTAATCTAAACATTCTCAATGAATCCGTAACTAAATTTCCGAGAGTTTTCAATCGCACTGCCTCCGCTTTTAGTACTGCTTCCGTTCCATGTGTCAATATAGTTTGCGGGACTGATGAGGCAGTCTCATTAGTGACAGTAAAGGCAACTGGCAGAACCAAACCACATACCAGGTGACTTCTCAACTGATTTGCAGAATGCCTACATATGCATACCATGATTTGCTTGGAAACAAACATTTCTTTTCATATGGGAGCATCGCGTGTGTAAAAAGATCGTAAGCAATATAAACTTGGCAGAGAAGTACGGTGACAACAAGGCTCATTACAATCCAGGGTTCAACTATAGAAAGCTATTAAAAAGGGACGATACGATGAAGTGATTTGAGATTAAGGCTATACTACTTGCAAAAGAAACCTATTTCAGTGATAACGGTGGCAGTGTAGATTAAATAAAGTTACAGCAAAAGGTTTGAGCACCAACACTGAAGGAAAATATAAGTTTTCATTGATAGAATTTAAGAATAGCATTCTACCTAATTCGAAATTCACACACGGAAGGCAAAAAAGGAAACTGCAGACGGATGCTGATAATTTTCCAAAAAACCATATCAAAGCAAAGAGCTGACATTCCTAATAGCGGTAGCACATACGAATGAAGTTCAACCAATTTTCAAATACAACGCCGAGTTCTCAGTTAGGTGAATTTGAATTGCATAGACTAAGCGATTGTCATTGTGCGGATTTGCGTATGCATAAGTTTGAGTTAGACCTCCTCCCCATTATCCACCACTACGGTAAACAAAAACCTCAGAATATTGCAGGGTGCTGACCACATTTGCGATTCCACTTACAACTCTACGCTGCAAATTGTGGCCGCTTTAAAATGCACCACTCTGCATGCCAAAATGGTCAACTTCCTTTCCCACTTTGAAAGTGATCCCGATGCGATGACTGAATGGCTGTAAGCTAATGCAATAACAGTGACTGGGTCATCCACCAACCTCCACTCCTCTCATTTTGACTTCTCTCCTTGCCTCAATGCATAACAGCATTATATCTGAAGTCCAATGTGTAGGCTGCACCGGTTCCCCACTTCTGACAACTAAAACTGACCACTATTAGGAAACCTATAGTCTCGACGTTGAGCAACACAAGAAAACACAATCGCTTTGACATTCAATCGGTCATCCACATCGTCTGTCACTACACGTGGCATGTCGCGCAACCCATGGAAGACGCCCTCTTGACCACAACACAAAGACACACACAGTGCAACAAGCAACAAAAGCTTGTCACTTCCGACGCAGAGCAAGCACTCCAACGGGTCGAACAACCACTGACTGTTGACACCGATCTCCAAGGCAGCCCCATGCAAACTTGCCTCACTCTCATCGCAGTGCCACTAATGGCAGAGGCATCTCATTGACAATGCTTTAGATGGAAAGAGTAGTGTGGGTCAGTTACTAACCTAACATCAACGATGCGTGCCTTCAAAGATACATCTCACCACGCGATTTGCAAACATGAGAACCCCACACCACCCCATATGAGAATTGCGTAGAAGAACAGGACGCCTGCACACACGAGTATGAGATGATGGCGTTGACAGAACAACAGCACTATTCATGCTGAATGACAGACGACACGATGAAACCACGTCACACCACACACACAGGATTGTGGTGCGTGCATGAGAGGCTCCAATCGCATTCGGTTATCTGGTTGCATAAAATCGAATTGACTGCACATGGCGTCCAGTACCACACTGCCAGCATCATTAAGTACACCACCAACTAGGTGTGCAATGCCATCCCAACGACGTTGAGAAGGCGGCAGTGGCCATACTCAACGTTCCACTGAGCCTTCCAACGCCAACACCTTCATCGTCCAAGTAATGGTCACAGCAGCTGACCTAAGTAATGGTATTTGGAGCAACGTCAACAAGTCAGTGGTGTGGACAGTGAAGGAAGGCGCCACCAATGCGATGTGGCGAAATTTGAGCTCCACACCACAAGCACTCGTAAGAATGCCGAACAGACACTAGTGCTGCCAGCGTAAGAGTATGGTACTGTTAAGGTGTGCAGAAGGATAGAATAACTTTCAGAACTATCCCATTATTAGGCGAATGTCAAGGTGCATTTTCTCGCATGAAAGTTATGTGTCTCTTCATAGCATTTTTCAGAATGACAGGGCCTAGTGTGGATAGAAGGAACAGAAGTGTGCATAGTATAACTACGGGATGTCCACTGCTAGTGACGGGTGGGGCTTGTTACGCTCCACAAACCAGATACTAAAATATTGTGGAAAGGTGAGAGCTATCGCCCAAAGTCTGCACTCTGCGCCTGGCAATGCAATGATTGCTTGTGACGCCTAAAAAAGACGCCAAGATAAAATAGTCAGGAGGAATAGACAATGACTTGGGGGAGGGAGCTTATTTTGAAGCAGTGACTCGCCACAGTGTAGGTTTACCAGTAAGGGAGGGCCAAGTGATTTACTTACGGGTATCATTTTCGTCGATGAGGTGGTGGGACGACAATGTTAATGGGTGCTGGGCAGGAGTAGACTGAGCAGTTGGTTGTAGATCCGCCAGCGGAATTCGTAAACTGGATGTCCGAGAAGGAACGAACACACAATCAGCGGTCGGCCCCAGGAAATCACCCCCGCCATCTTTGTTTGCATTGGTAAGACGGAATTGCAGTTCTGGACAGTCCAATGCCATCGTCTCATTTGCGCACTCAAACTCCTCCTTGGTGACTTCTATGTGTATTTAATGAGTTACTTTACACACAAATTCAAGCGTAGGAAATAAATAGCACCACTATACCAAAAGACCTAACTTTTAATCTACCTTGATCGAGTGGCATGACTCAAGCGAATAGTAAGGGTTTATTCATGATATGAAACCTCATACCTTGAACAACTTCTAGCCTTACCACGGTTGAATGCATGCAATCCACGGATCTTGATTGCTAAGACACAGAGCAATGACTTGACATCACGGTTGGCTATGCATGACCACGCAGTTTCATTAGTGCACACATGGCAGGAATAAAGACCTTCTTACTCAAAAGCATTTTTTCTCAATTGTTCCTTTGCCAGCTAAGGAAATTGGTTTATGCAGTCATGAAAACACCCTCTATTTAGAACCACGCTGAAGTGACACTCACAAGAGTAGGCTTGGATAAAAACTCCAGCTAGCTAAAGTGCTGGTCATACCAAAGTAATGGCTTTGCAGCTGCAAGTCACTATTCGATCCTACTGTCAGCATATTCGTCTGGGATTACAGTGGAAAAGAGTGGAGGAAATGTTTGAAGCAAACCAGTGAATAAAGCCATAGTTAACTGGAGTATAGCCATAAAATTAAAAGGGCGTGAATGAGCTCAATACAATTAGTGCGTTGACCGCGCATCACCTTGACTGACCCATAAACATAACGACCTCCATGGTTTGAACATGCTTTTTGCAGAAACCGCAACACGACATCACCCGTATCACAAGACCATAGATAAATCCACTTCAAGTCGAAGAACAAAGGACACAGAAATGAGTTTTGTCATTCAAAAAGCGAACTTGCACTAATTGCTGCTACAAATTCAACTATGACATTTATAACCATAAATTAAGGCCACAGAAAGTCCAACCTCGCGGGTTGTACATAGGTGCAGTGGTGGATTTTTTATAACAATTTGGTCTTCTGCATAGAGAAAAGGAAAGTAAAAATGCCACTCGCGCTAGTGGCAGAAAAAATGACATAGAAAACTTTTAATTTCGCAACACAAGTGGCTTGGCAGAAGAGAGTGGACAATGAATGAGGCGTGGCCTAGCCACCATTAGCCGTGTAAAAATTGCAGCCACAAGGAATTAGATAGCTATTTTCAGATTAGGGATTAGTGGAATCAAAAAAAAAACAAAAATTAGGAAATAGCAGACAAAGACAATTAATAAACGCATAATCACATAAAACGGACGGCCATTTGCCAACAGCCTACTTTCTCATCGATAATACCTCTTTCATTTAGACAATTTCAGTTTGGAACAATTGTATACAGTTACATATGACGGCGATACTACCATTTAAGCAGTGTATTTGCGCCTGAGGCAAGGTTTCGTATCGAACATGATCAAATCAATTTGACGGAAAGAGAGAAGGGAGGAAAGCGAATGATCTGCTGCTGACTCGAACCTTCAACTCACCAACCAATAAACAAGCGCTTTCTGCGAAGCAATATAGGCCATTAAGAAGTAATTGCCCTATGATAAGCGACCAAAGCACAAATGCATAGCCATATTTAAAAAGCGAGCCTATTAATCAATATACAGATTACTTTCCCCACTTGCACCGAAGTGATCAAAGTGGAGGAGCTGATAGGGGTGGGATTGAAGTATGGACGCACCGTCTTTCAGAATGTCGAAGCCGTGCTTTTTGCTCTCCTCAATAAGCATTTGGCGAAACATCTGAGTGGATCGCAGTTCTGTCAAGATGAGGAGGGATGCATATCAAAAAAAAAATCAATTTTAGAGGCATTATGTACATTACGAAGGTTAGTGAAAGCAGTTTGGCAACGCCAAAAGACACGAAATTAATAGAGCGATTAAACAAAGTTCACGTTAACTCACTTGGAACATTCTTTGGAAATCGAAACTCATATTTGAATTTCTCTATCCGTGAAATGCTTGTGTTTGTCTCGCGAGTGAAGTATTCGATTAATTCACGTCCAAAGAGTTCCGTTGACGCAAAGCCCACAATGAGGACTTCCATAACTTTCGATGCTTTCTCAACCTAAGTTGATGACGTTAATCAAAGAGTAGCAAGACAGTTAACAGTTGGCAGCTCACATATAAACAGCAATGAGGACAGAGTTTAAACTGAATGAAATGAATCTCAACTATGGAAAAATCTACACAATAGAACAAGATACAACAAGAGAAATCGCCTCGTCATGAAATGAAAATAGTGAACATTGTGAACCGAATGGAGTGGCAAGATTCTTACCTTTTCAGGCGAATATGTACAACTAGGGAAGATAGACCCCGCTACGGACTTTGCTACAGCTTCAACAGACATTGCGTTAACCTCGGTGTGATAAATCATACGAAACCACGTTCCAAAAAGCAGAGTTAGCAGCTGCTGAACCATTTTTGGCTGTGACGTAATAATGCTGAATAAGAGTTACGCAGCATGATAAAATACAGACTGGACATTTGCAAAGGTCAAGAAGCCGATGAATAATTAGTTTAAAAATCGACTTCATCCAAATGAGTGGGAATTAACTTACGACTTCATTTGAGCGTTGCGGGCATCGATATCAGGAATATCTAACGCTTCTATCAAGGCCTCTTCAGCCTCCTCACCAAGAATTCCTCCCTCAATATGAAGCAAAAAACGCTTTGCTATGTTTGCAAGCGTATAGAAATTGTAATCTGTCCAATTGATCGGTCGTCCCGACTCCAAATCTGATACTATCTTTTTGATGGATTGAATATTTCCCGGGCGCCTAAACAAGTCAGTAACGGCAACGCCTTCACGAGCGATATATACGAGAAGGTCCTGAGAAATATCAAGCAAAAGTCACAAATTACCCTTAACTGAGAAGCAATGTTTGCAGACTTGAATGCGTCAACGATTTTTACATTAAAGCGGACCTTCGTCGGCCTCCTTGTAACACCATGTTTCCGACGTACGCATGACTTGATGTTCTGTAAAATAGGCATCTGGAGGATGACAGAATGGATGACGATCCCAACGTGATCACCCTGTATTTGAAACGCTGAGGTTAACCTCAGCTATCCAATTGCCACGCGATATTGTAACCAATTGAATTTGCCTAAGATTAGGTAGAAATCATTTACATTAAGTAATGCCCAAGTCACTAAAGGTATTATGCAAAATGTAACCTTTAAGGGACACAGAAACACCATGGGTTAGAAGATGGAACAAGTGGAAATATTAGAAGCTTTCTAAGTGAATAAAGCTTAAAAAAATTTAAAGCAGGTCATTAGGTTGTTCAGGAATTTTAATAATTAATTATCAAGCACTGACGTAAACACAACATCCCTGTGAAAATGTCATGGTGTACCTTTAGGTGAGGGATTTTCAGTAAGCATGCGCTTATGGTGAGGCGAATCCCATCCTAGCTATTCAAGGGTTCCGTTTGGTAACGGGCCCATGAGACTGGTCTCCATTCCTCGACATGCTGACATAAAGTGGCGGAGTGGGGCTTTGACATGCCCCTATGGACAACCCACTCGGTGGAAGCAGGATACCACTAAAGATGTCATTAAAAACCTGGGTACTTTATTTTGCTCTGGCTCGGCGAGCTTATCTACGGATCAGTCAAGGTAAAACTTCTTCCATCTCTCGTGCAAGCATTAAATCCAACTTAGTGCATTCTTCTGCCCAATAAGAAGCTCTAAATGCTACAATTACAGTAAAACCTTTGAATCCCATCTTGTATGCTAGTCTCAGGTGTACAACTATCAGCATTGCTAAACCAACAGGTAAACCTCGACACCATTTCAACGCTTTTAACGTGGTAAATGGTTAGGCGGTAAACCACTCATTCACTTAAGAAACGGAACCTGGAAAAAGTAACTAAATCATGTGAATGGGAAGCACAAGCATTTAGAGAGGAAAAAACAAATTAAAGAACAATGCCTTCATAATGCGCTAACACTTTCGGCCACCTCGCCACAATTACGACTAGATCAGCCGACTCCCAACTAAGGTTGCAACAGGATTGATAACAATTGAAACTTTGGTCAAAAAAATCCATTTAGAAACAAAATAAACTACTAGGGAGTTAATAATGTAATGGCTTTGCACTGTTTGGATAATGAAGTTAAGCAATCACCTGAAGGGGCCGAACACAAAAGCAGAACTTTAAAGGAAGCTTTCGGGATACATAATTTTTTGAGACATACTATACCACTTTAGTATTCCTACGAGCCTACTGCTGCTGCAGTGCAGTTTTCGTGCTTGTCATCGTACCATGGACCTCAATCTTAACGTTAAATAGGCTGGCGCAGGTCTTCCGTAAGAGTAACTAACAAATAAGCGAAGCTTCGTTTTTATCAGGGATCTTTATTACCAGATCTCAAAATGGTTTTCTCCATTTGCAAAAGTTCATCGTAAATTAAACCATAGGATCGATGCCCAATAAAGAAATCTGATGGCGTACCTATAAATTGCAATGGTGATGGGGCCAGTGTACACTTTTCACCAGGGCGGAATTTGCGTGACGTCTGCGCGATATGTCATTACAAGTAAATTTGGCTAACAGTAGGCATAATGTGCGGTCAGACACAGTTAAAAAGCCTTTACTCGATGACTTACAACAAGTTACCAAACATTTGAACCATAAAATGTTAAAACTTGGTTTTGAAAACCTTTACACTCACTATAAACACTGAGTAACCGCTTATGAGTTGCGATTTCGAAGTCATTTAAAGTGCATCTGTTGGTTACCTCAAGAGCATCACTACATTTTAACATTAAACGTGTATGGCTGCTCCGAATATAATGTCTCAATCCACTGATGTACTAATGCAGAAAAAGTTGAATGAACTTGCAGTATATCTGGAACGCGAGTTGGATTCAAAGCCTAAATTGGAGTGCAAGCACGAAAGTGCAAAAATCTGTGCTCTAAACCAGCGGTTTTCCATCGACTCAAGTGACGGCAAACCCCCGGAAGGCAAATCTTTGCATCATTCGCCTGCTAACAGGAAAACGAAACATCAAACCAAAAAATCTGTCTCTTCCAATGAGAGTACGCCTCGGAGTTCAATCCCAGTTACATTTGCTCAGGAAGAGGATGTGAATTCGAGGCTTAGTGTAAGTTTGTTTATTGTTGAAATCTTAAATACACATAATGGCCTATACCACCATTCCCATTAAAGTCAAATCCACTACGTTTATTTATTTATTTTATTTATTTGACCCTTGTGCAAGTTTTGCTATTCGTCAGTTAAAATGTAAGCTAACAATATGAAAATCCTCCCGTTTAGAGAACTGCGAATTGTTGTATAGGAGCAGATTTTTCAAACACGGGAGATGCTGCTTGTCATGCCGGTTTTTTGGACATGGAGGAAGAAATTAACGTGTTGGTGAGTAAATCCAAAGGCTGACTCAAGCGTCAGAACATATTAGTGATGCGTACCTGTTGTAATTTTTGCAGAAAGTAAGAAATTCGGAGCTTTTGGAGAGATGTCGTGTTCTTGAAAATGACTTATGTCGTACCACAGATGAAAGAGATAAATTGTCTGGAAAAATGAAGCGAATGTTCGATGCTGTGGCAAAAGTTCATGAAGATGTCACGGCTGAGAAGACCAGGCGAGTGCATTTGAGGGTTTTATGAGCTGAAAAATAAAAGACCATTTCTTTAGCTTGACACATCCTTCGTTAAGTACAATAGCTGATCAAAACCAGCAAATGAATTTTTTAGCCCTTAAGCCCATGTCACCAGTCGTAAACACAACTACTCCAGTTTGATTAAGACTATTGCGTAAAAAACTGGCTTCGAGAATATCTTTAAATTTATGTTTTATTTTCATACCATCTAAGGTTGTATTCAATGCGCGAAAGCATCGAACTAGAATCGGCAAAGTTTATGGAAGAATTGGACCATTTGAGAGACACGCAGGGACACCTCGTAGAAGAGGTAGAGCATGTGTATACTGAAAAGGTTAATGTGAAGACAACACAGACGAAGGAGCTACGAACAAAGGTTAGTCGAAGTGTGAATGATGTTCACCGACCCAAAGGTTCTTGTTCCAATGTCTACTGATGTGCTAAAGCACCAAATGTATGAGCAATGTTTGGCCAACAACTACAGCTTAATCATTTCATTAATTTTGAAGTAAAAAAACATTACCATGCTTTATGGTGCCTTATACTAATCATATTTTTAAGCTTCATTTGCAACTGGCTGGCGATAGGGGAGAGGGTAATAAAGATGAAGCAGAATCCCTCAGGATGAAGTACTTTGATTTATGTCTAGCTAACTTGGAAGTCTGCCAACAATGTTAAGGAGTGCTAAGTGGGTTGAAAGTTTTGAGGTCTTGCCCATGAAATGCTTCTTGCTGGAATAGAAAACTGATATTATTATTACCAGCTTCTTTGGCGCCAATGTGATATGGATAGTGTCTGGTAGGTACCACGGTGTTACCTGTGCAAGCTTTGAAAAAAATAAGGGTGTAAGTCCATTTGCTTGCATTAATACCTACTGAAATCATTTGCTGCATTTTGCAAATCAACTCTTTGCTACCATTATCATTCTAGCAGTTGCTTATGAGAAGTTGAGCTGCTACATAGTCACTTTGAAATTATAAGCAGCATGGAGAATGGGTGCATGCCATGGCAGTGGCAAATTAACTCATCTTCTCCATGTAATGAACCAAGTTTGAGCTGATTAAGGTTTTTGCATCAGTATTTATGACACTTACACACTACAAATATAAATTTTGAGAAGGAACTAAAAAGGGTCAACTTTGCCCACGTTAAGGAGACGGGACACCTATGCGACAAAACGGCTACGATGGAGCGTGACTTCACGGGGAGGACTGTTTGCATGGAAAGACAAGTAGATGAGAGACGTGAAGTAGAGAATCTTAATGCTTACCTCAGGGATATTGCAAAGGTAACAGTTGACCTTAAGCCCAAGCATTTACACCCCTTTGTGGACATCAAAAGCCTTCTAAATGATCGACTTTTCTCATGTTGCAAGTCTGCGCCAAACAGTTAAAAAAATCTTGTGGAACACTATGAGGTGTAGCCTGAATTAATCCAATTTTATTTTAAAAATGACGTCCTAATTTATTATTTTCCCCTTCCCTCTTTCACTTTAAATACCGCTTAATGTGTGCTGGAATGCAGTCTATCGTGAAAAGGAATTACTCATTTGAGGTGTCACTGTGCGATGATTGAAGTTGGGCTTCTGGCTTTAGATAGTGGAGGACCTAAAGGCAGTGCAAGTGGGTATGAAATCGCAGCATGATCTGATCAAAGACACTTTTACACAAATGCAAAACAGACATGAACACGTCCTGCACCAATTTGAAGAAAACTGTCAAAACTCTACAAAGGTAAACAAATTTTTCCCATATCTCTTAGTTGAGACGCAGCAGGAGGATACCCACTCGAAGGCTTTATAAACTAACTAAAGAAGCAATTTTGCAATAGAGTGAATTAAACTTGGTAATCCTTTCCTCCAAAAGTTCTATTAACGTTATCAGGTAGCACCTTGGTTTAGATTGTCATTTTTGTAAAGTGTGGGTTTGTGCCTTGTCAGCCCCAGTGGATTCAAACTGCATTGAGCTTTTATTTACGTGTTCTTTGTGTAGGACTTGGTCAAAATGATCCAGGAGGAGAACCAGCGAATGTGCAGACTGAGGGAGGATTTGGGACTCTGTGATGATTTGGAGAATATGTGGAGGGAACGAGTCAAGGATGATCTCTTGGGAGAGGTTGAAGAAGGCTTGCTTACGACAGGGATTAGATTTCAGCTGGAGGAAACCATCACGGCTCTTTACGCCACTGTAAGCCTTGTTAAGCTAGCCTGATTGCATCGACTGGACAACTTCATTTGTGAGAGAGCTGAGTAAAACCACTTCTAACTATAAAAAAACTAGTGAATACATTTGGAGCCAGCTCACTTAGCAGGTTAAAACGAGCAGATGAATTGGAAGCAGCTATTTCATCAGGTGAACCTAATACCACACGGGTAAGCGAAAGGGTAGCAACGGAATTCACCAACGGAGAGATGATGAAATTATGAACCTTGTGTCGCAGAGTCAACGCAGAGACAAATGCTAAGTGGGGGCATGAGAACCTAAGGCAGTAACTTTACTTCCGCTTGGTTTCGACGGCGCTAATCACGTGCAGCACTAAAATGTAGCCTACTGAGACGCAGACGAGATCTTACCAACGGCCCTTCTCCGGCATCTCACTCATAGAAATGTACTCTTATCATACATGAACAATGATGCTAAATTCCATGCTTAAAACTATTTTCATAGATCAGAAGACACTGTCAGCACCTCACTGCTAACATAATTTGTTTCCCATTAAGGTGAAAACGCTAAAAAATCGGTTGACGACGCTAGAAAGGGAAAATATGAAACTCCAGGCTCGCTTGCTAAGACATGGCGAGAAGCTCACTTTGACACACAGAACCCACGGTGCCAAGGCGTCAAACGATTATAATGCATTCTGAGAAAATGACACACTAGTGCCATGACACACCCGTGAGTTAGTTACTTTTGTTATCAATCTCATTTGGATCACATCCACAATGATCAAAGGCTTACCAGTTCTACCTGTAGCAGTAGCTGTTATAAGGGACGAAGTTAAAGTGTTGAAAAATATGCCAGTGCTAAACTCTTTATTGTAAATGGAACTGCTAGACATAAATGTCTTTTCACTCCTCCGTCACAATTGTGAGGCCGTGCATTGACTTGATTTCTTGGTTCAAAGCCTAAGACGAAAAGATGATGGATGAAAGGCCACCAACCTCCTTCACAGACCGATGCTGGGCTAGAATTGACATGCCGGAAAACTCTTTTGATTTTACGAATATCTGGTACATCGCCCCGCATCCACCTCGACGAAAATCGAGTTTATCCATCGCCAATTTAAAACTCACCACCCACATCGGTAACTTCAATAGCCACCGCCTTCGGGAAACGAGTCCTCAGCAGGGCCCTTAATCTCGTTTCAGCTTGGGTTGCAAGTGGACGGCGGGAAGCCGTTAGAACGAGTGGACCCCGAAGAAACTAGCAAATTGCAAGTAATTAGTATTCTATTGAAACATTAAGCCACCGAAACAAAGAAAGTGCGATTGGCGATTTGGATGATACATTTTTAATGGTTGAGAAATCCAACCGTAAAATGTCCAATTAAAAGCCTGAGTAAAAGTAAAGTTTAGACCAAATAATCGCTAGTCCTTTCTGACGTTCTACTTCCATCGCATATTTTCGAAATCGAAAGATGACACTAAGCCGTCAATTGGACCATCTCGGCTGTACAAGCGTCTGTAGAGTAAAGCTTCTTTATAGTCCCTCTGAGCGTATTTCATTGATGGCAAGTCCAAAACTAAAAAAATAACAAAGTTAGAATTTCAAATGCGATAAGAGACAATACTTAAAGGCACTTACTATAGGCTTTAAGAAAAGAAAGGTAAAGCATAGCGACGGACATTACAAAACAGGCCCAAGCAACGCCCAACTTCCAACGTGGATGTGGAGCCATAGTCTCGGCTAGAGTCATGCGGAAGCTGTAACGATAGAGCTGCTTCTTTTCATCGATGGTTAGTTTTTTCCAATCATCCTGCTCCTTCTTCCTCAAGGCTTCAAACTGGAGAACAAAATGAGCCGAAATCCTACGCTTACTATATCGTCATTTTCTCTAAAACGGATAGAGGGATAGGGAAAGTGTGGGTCGTCTAAATATTGAGGGTTCCCATTTCGACCAAACCCAACAATTTCCCGGTTCCCGATGTATGGATAATATTTCTTAACTAAAGGCGAAACTACTGATGCTGCCGATCGGGAGGACACGCTTTCAATCTTCAGCACATGAGCCAAGCCCAATACCTACGGCATAGCGAAGGAAAAAGCGTTAAAAAAAGCAAGACGTGACAAAAATGAACTCGTTCAAATAAAGAGAGCCGACTGCCTCCAAAAATAGATAGAAAGATAGGCGAAGGCTCCTCAGAAGGGAACGCAAAGTAATTTGCTTACAAGTAACGGAAGAGTGGGACGTTACCTTGATGCCCCTAAGCATACTTGCAGGCTAACTACGCGGGTCGGATCCATGAACCAGTAAAAATAAAGAGATGGTGGGTGAGGTGCTGTAAATGAGACATTTAACTTTACTAGGTAAAATAGAGATTAGCTAACGGATTATAAAACACAATGGTTACCCTATGTATAGTTGTAGTGGTAACCTATTACAGAAATCGCAGTTCTTGCAGATTTACTGGGTGTAAATCTGAAATGTTACAAAATGACTATGCAGAGCTTTGTCATGAACGGGTCAATTCCTTTTATGCTTGTTTTTTATCTGTTTAATGTGCTGATGTGTTTAGGCTGCTACTACTGTGACTTTCATATAGTACAGAATATGTAGTGATGGCTGATGCGGGAGGTGTACCAAGGGGAGCACAAAGAGGAGAAGAGCGGTGTACTGCCTGTTTACGCGGATGTCAGGTGTTTGACGGTCGCTTTAGGATGTGTCTGGTCCTTGTCATCGTGGGCTGGCCTTCGCAGTGTGCTTGGGCACATTTGCTCTGTTCGCTTCGAAATAAATGTATCCAGTCTCACTTACTGTCCTCTTCCACCCTCTAGGAAGTCTCAGGATGCTACAGAAGCGTATAACAGATTCTTCTTATAAAATTTTCCTTCCAAAGCTCTTGCTATTGCTAATTAAATCTGTTTCAGAAGGTTCACACTTCTGATCTGATTTAGAGTTCTAAAAGATCGATTCTTTTCATACAGTAATGGTTGGAAGAACCGGTGAATTAAGTGTCTTAAAACAGGGACTATTTGCAAATGTGCGCGCTTTCTTTCAAGCTTGTTGCTTACAAGAATAATGCTTATGTTTGTCTAAATCGACTTGTTTAAAGAGTGTCATTTTGTGGCTATATGAGTTTTGTTATTGTGTTTGTGTTCGGGTTGGCTCGGGTGTTGGTGATCTGAGCTGACAGTTGCCAGCCTACCTTAGTTCGCTTCTTTTTGTTTCCACTGTGATTGAAGACGTATTTTGTTAACAATCAGGAATTAACCATATTTTAGCTACTAAATATGAATTCGCTTGACAACTTGGACCATTTCTTTGACGCCTATGAGAAGGCAACTCATCAGGTTAGCGGGTGGTTAATATTGTCATACTTGCAAGCCTTCGCTTCAAAGCCATTGCAAGATCATCTCAAAGCTCTTTTTGCATGTCGATTTTTTGCATAATCTTGTGTGAATATATTTCTGCACTTTCTCTTATTTTTGCCTTCTCCACAGCTACGGCTACTGATTCCATCCCTCAATGAGAGTGTGGCTACATCTTTGCGTTCTCACCTGGCATCGTCTCAGAGCAAGTTAGATAAGGAGGTTTATGCGGGACTTCCCACTCTTCATAATTCGCGTTCCCTCTTTCAAACTCTTGAGAGGTGTACCCCTCCGCTTGGGTTTTTGACGCAGGTGGATGTTTCGAATCTCCATGCTCGCCAATTTCTTAGTAGATTGGAGTTGGTTGCCATTCTCGCTAGTGTTTATGAGTTGGTAAGCAGTATTTTATCTCATTCTACGAGGATGGTAGTCTTGGGATTTAACAATCTCTTGGAGTCTTCATAAAATTTACATAGCGTATGCACTTGGATTTGCCTTTTTTTGTTTGGATGATTTCAACGTTGTTTTCTTTCACTTGTCCTTACTTTCGGTCCTTACAGCTTATGGCATAAATTTAAACGGTGCCAAAATACAATTTGGGGAGAGATAGAGAAACATTTGACTGCAGCCTATACTGCGGGGAAGGCAACTGATTGAAGATAATTTTTTGGCCCTATGTGTGGATAAAAGATTGTTGCCATGCGCAGTTGTGCATAGCTAAATTGCAAACCCTCAACGATAGAGAAGCGATAGAACTTTGGGGTGTGATGTCTAGTGCGCACCTTTTTGGAGCCCCCATTCGAACCGCTGGTTGACTTATTTTGTTTTGGGATTTTTGGGTTCGCTAGTATTGATGTTTCAGGTCTTATATCTCGAACTCCTGTATCGTTTCCACTGCCGTAGTGCTCATTGACATTTTAGCACTCGACAGAGGCGGCTGCATGGCAAGCTGTCGAAGTTCTCTCCCGACACACACAGCGGGTGATTGACGAAGTATACGGTCTTGTGAATCGTGCGTTTTTGAAGTTGAGAATTGCCGAGCAAATGTGCTTTGCTGATAGTAAAAAACTTATGCATAAAATCGGTCGAATCCAGTCTGCACTCAAGTCCAAATCATCTCTCTTTACTGCCTATGAAGACTTAGTGTCCAGAGTGAGATTGCCAACGGCACATGCAAATCTTCAGTGTGTCGTGGTGGATTCATTATTGGTCTACTTGGAACATTATGACAACGTGAGCTTCTATCATAAATAGACTTGAAATCTTGGGGCTGTACTCTCTCAGTACCAAAGTTTATTTTGCAGTGGTATGCCATCAGTTCGCGCCTCGATATTGTGATGATGCGTCACAAGAACTTCCTCGACAGTAAAGTTTGGGCTGCTGTTTACTGTCGTGCTTTTGCAAATTGGTTGACGCTTCGCGCACGGTTGTCTACTGGTGCTCCCCCTGCACTTATTACGGATGAAGATGTCGAAAATCCAGTTTCCTCGCTGTTTGCAGCGATTAATATCAAAACACACGGTCGAACGTTGGTCAAATTTATCATGAGTCATATTGGCCTTCAAGTAGATCATTGTGACGACGACAAGGAAAACTTGCCTCCTGGAGAAAGTTTGTACCCTAATCGTTTAGGCGCGTCTAATATTTCAAGTATGCTTATTAACAAAGTTTTATGCTTCACAATTCAACAGACACTTCAGTTGATCGACTTCATATTACAGCACAGGATATGGTGAACTTGTGGTTGGGCTCTCGACTGCTTTTGAATGGAACACTTCAAGTAGCGGAACTCTACACACTCCTTGGCACTGTCAAAGAGGCCCGTGTTTATCAATTAGAATTGCTTCGTATCGCTCAAAGGCTCCATAATCCCTCTTGGTATTCCCATTGTACTTTAAATAGTAGTCGCATGAGGTCGTTCTTTATACTAATGTCACTTTTTTTTTTTGAATTTAAGTGCGCAATCAGCAATTTGCATGATGGCTTATACTGACCTCATTTCACAACGCAAATGGGCATTTGATCTTCGACTCTCCCAATTGAAGCATATTGTCAATTGCATTGTTTCGCTTGACGATGTACTTAAGTCTCGGAATTTATCTCTTACAAATAAGACCAATAAATCCAATGATGAAAAGGCGGAGGAAGATGAGGAGGAGAGCGGTTTTCTCAAGCATGGGAATCGGAAAAAGCAATCCATCGAAAGATTATGTGATAGTGATGGTGAGGAGGAGTACGAGGGAATGGCCACAAATCCGGTAGTGGATGCCTTGGCTGGTGGTCTTCCAGAAGTGTATCCTGTTACGCCCATTGAGGGCATTGCGGTTATAAAGTCGCCAAGTGGCTATCCATCTCTTCAAACAGTGATGGAGATCCTTTCGGCGAATAGCGGACAAAGGGCGTGTGACGAGGAGGGTGTATTTACACCATTTGCATGCAGCTATAAAATTCTAAACGGATGTCTGTGGGTGTGGATGGGAGAAGTGGCTGATCTTATACGGACCAAGGTTATTGGTCGTGATCACTTCTTTTCGGCTCTTGTACCAACCAGTCAAATTAGTGAAGAAGTAAGTGGCGTTCCAATTTTTCGTGATCAGCGCCATTGCTTTAATTTTTAGAAATTGTTCTCATCCGACGATCTGTCAACTATGTTGGAGAATAAATGTTCAGTGTCGTCGTGTGATGCTGCTGTCACACCGGCTCGGCCTTTGACGAAAGCAGCTCGTGCAGCAGCTAGAGGAGCTCAAGCAACTTTATCTACCCCGATTCATTCAACAGGTCGGGATGATATTTCAGATAGATTTCTCCGGCCACCGAATGCGCTTCTTCGACTGGGTGTGTCTCAGCCCAAAGATGACGACTTTATAGTATCATCAAAAACCAGACGAGGCGTCAACGCTGCTAAGGCTTTGTCTGCTCCAGTAGCTATTCAGAAAGGTGCCTACCATTTTGTTAGACTTTCTGACAGACCTAGGGACGGGCTATTTCTATTTTGCTCTAATTCTGTTCTGAAGGCCTTCTAATAGTCAGTAGACCCTTAGGTAAGGGTTGGACCAACTTGGTTGCGTAGATGACCCTACAATTTCTATAATCTACTAGTTTTGCAGCTATTTGTGAATTTTTCACGCCCAAGTGTGGTTTATTTCCTATCTTATTCCTGTTCTCGGTCTGCAACATCCAGTTGACAGTAAATTCTTCTCCGCTTCGAGTAGAAACTATTGAGTTCGAAAGCGTCGACCGTTCTCGTAGAAGTGGCAGACCAGTTGATTTAAGTCTGAAAGCTCCGGGGGGTGCGGAAATTCCATCCAGTTGCTCTTCTTCGCTATCAAACCATCTTGGTTTCCCCACATCACGTTTCGTGCCTGGCAGGGAACTCAAGACGTCTCTCCAAATTCTTCGTGATAACGATGTTCAGAAGGTTGTTTCGTTTGCCATTTTTTCCAGTATCAGGTTATTTTTGCCATTATCATCATTTTCATTGCTATAAGGTAGCAGCTGTACTTTTAACCAGGAAATTTAGTTTATTACCCTTGTTTCCGTGTCCATAGGAAGTTACAACATTTTGTGCATCCGAGTACTGCGATATTAATGATGGAAAACAGCTAGATGAAGAGGTGGAAGAACCGGTTGAAACCTGCCCCGCGGTAGCATTCCGTGTTCCACTCCCTCGTAATCTCAAATTGACTAAAAAATATCTTCCTCATGGTCGTCCTCACATCAATCTTGCTTTGCCTTCGTCCTTGCACGACCCTCCTGAAACCCTGATTAAAGCTCAGGACGCCTTCGCTGACCGTCTTTATCGTGCTTACTCCAATCTAGCTGCATTTCCTGTACCTCATCTCTTGCGGCCAGTTTGTCAGTGGTTAGGACTGCGCTGGCTAGGACTCGGAAATCAGAATCAGGCGGCTCGTTACTTCGGCCAGGCAACTGGAATTGCGGCATGTGGCCTTTTCACTTCGATTCTCTCTTCTAAGCTTAAGTACGTATCTTGCCACGTTGGGTTGTGCTTGTAGTAAGTGCTCTCCATTCACCTTCCCTAACGCTTGTCCAAGTCAGGTATATATTTAGTCGTCCTTGCAAATTGGTCTTTGCTCATTTTCACTTGGCGCACTGATTAGTGGAACAATGTGCTTTATGGGTGTCACTTTTTCATTTTCTCACACTATGAGCACTACTGATCCAAAGTCGAATGGTACATCTGCTACACGAAATTAATTAGCGCAATGTAAATAGGCTTCAAATGGGGCTTCCTACATCCACAGCTTTTGGAAAGCCGGTAACCAGTGGTTTGCTAATTGCTCCCTCAGATTCGAAGTTTGCGCGGAATCTCTGAGGTCGGTTTACGCGATGTCAGCTCCAAACGACTCCAGTGCATACTTGAATTCTCGTTCCAACGAAATGCCACCCATGGACGTGGTTCAGCTGATGCTGGTGGATGAATTAGGTCAGGTGCAAACGTTTAACAATTATGATAGCGACGGCACTCAACCCGCCGCAGATCTCGTTACTGGTGGCTTGGGTTCTCGAAAGCACGTTTATCTCATCGCTACTCGATGGAGTCTAGGTGATTCGAAAGTCGTCTGCGAGTCGCGTGTTATTCATAACTTCTCTTTGACTGTAAGCACTTACTATTTCCTTATGCTCGATAAGGTGTAGCTGTAGTTTGGTCTTTAGATATCATTAACCTGCTCTTTGTCGCTCATGCAAATGCTTCTTTCGTATTATGAGCTTCATTTCTTGCTTCCAGGGTCTGCAGTATCTAAAGGACTTTGATGAGCTTCAAAGTCGTAACGTCGAGTCAATGCAGGAAGAGGACCGTCGTCGTTTTTGGTCTCTCCGTTTTTCTCTTGATAGTCAATTGAAGGTGATGTGATAGATTACATGCTTTTCTCTGGTTCGCGTACTTACAGGCATTTTCTTGAGATGAATGCGTTTTAGCGACAATGATATTTCAACTCTCTCCTTCAGAATAGCATTTAATACCAGCATGATAGTGTGGGATTGTTGCTGCAGATCCGGTTTTAATTCTCATCTTTGCTTCACGTGTTCAGAACCTTATCGATGAAATGCGAAGTCATTGGTTTACCATCGAGGATCTTAAATGGATTAAGGGAGAAGGCGATTCACAAGACTGCGGATGCAAAAGATCGTGTGTCTTAGTCCTCGATCGAGTAAGATCCCCTTCTCCAATTCTTCTTTAAGTCTTGAGCAGTGATTTTACGAGCTCTATTTCTCAGCAATTGACCTTGCTACCATGGGAATGGATTATTTGGGGACAATGGGATGAAGGCGAAACGAAATGTTACGTTCCTGGTGTTTGCCGGAATTTCTCTATCAGCCTTGTCGTTGGTCATCTTAATTTAACCAAGTCCCATGTCGCCGAGTTTGACCCCCACTCCGCCTTCTACGTGGTGAATCCGGAGGCTAACCTATCCCACACAGAAACCACTTTTAAGGACTATTTTGATCAGAACTTCCCAAAATGGGATGGGATTCTTGGACGTCCACCACAGGCGCAAGAAGTGCTACGTGGATTCACTCAGAGAGACTTATTCGTCTATTTGGGCCACGGAAATGGGTCGAAATGCCTTATGTCTGCCTTTGACGAGGGTCAGAATGCCAAGGCCGTGGCGCTCATCATCGGATGCAGTTCCGGTCGACCACGCCTAGAGGGAAGGCACGAAGCCTACGCTTCTGTCTTCAATCATCTTATTACTGGAGCGTGAGTTGCTTGCTCTTCCAACTAATTCGCTTTGTTGGTGGTCAATAGGTATTGATTGTTTTTCAAAGATTTTAGATGAATGTGAGGTTCCCTCTAAATAAGTATTTTACAGAAACTTTTTTTACAATTTAGTCCTACTGCGGTTTCGCTGCTGTGGGATGTCACAGACAAAGACATTGATCGTTTCACACAAAAATTCATTGACAATTGGATTTTGCGAAGGGACGAAGATGATACAACATCATCGTCAATGACATGGAAGATATTCAGAGCCACGAAGGCCTGCAAGTTGCAAAGCCTTGTGGGAAAATCTGTCGTTGTTTATGGAATTCCGGCTGTCCCAGTTTGTCGCAAGTAGAGCGTGGTGTACATTTTTGTCAAAGACCAAAGTGCCCAGTATTGTATATACTGCCTCAAAGCTTGTAATGTAGCTATATTTTTCTATTTATATGGAATAAAAGAAAGTAATGATTTCCAGAGTTCAGATCAGATCCAGGAGGTCTAGTGTGTTATTCGGCATTCCTGATGTGGGAGTATGTGTTTTAGATCTTGGGAGACCTTAATTATGGCGGTTCAACCTACCGCTTGCGAGCCTTTTGAGGCGAGATCTGATGTGCCAGTTTTCTTATGAGCTGCTCGTCTACGAGCATTTTTGCGTTTGGTAGCTCAGCGGTCCTAACGTCGCCTGAGGTTGGAGGGTCATTTGGTCCTCGATCCTCGCTGTCATTATCTCTTTGAGCTTTGCTCCTTTTCATCAAGGCAGTAAACCTTGAAAGCAGGAGTTGTTCGCGCTCAGCACTCGAGAAAGCCAGGTTGGAGTACCTCTCAACAGCTGAGTCGGCGAGTGATTTTAGTTCTTGGTTAGCTGAGGAGAGTTTCGCAATCTCTTCGGTAGCAGCTGCAATCCCAGCAAAAAGCTTCCGAAAAATAATGTCACCGGGAACTTTGTGAAGGTCTATACTAAATTCTTCGCTCTGAAAGACATGAACATCAAGGAAATAAATTACTTTGGCTCCATTCCATCTGACTACCAAGGTGTCGCCTCCATTCCTTTCCACTTCCATATTTTTGGTGGATGCAAATGTGTCCACAAACACTGAATTGGCTGGCAATGAAAGTGAACGGCTTTGAGACGACCAATAATGGCTTAAGGAGTACGCGTTTAAGGTTACTTCATCTTTATCGATAAAGAGGAATAGGAAGTGATCGTCAACGTGTCGGGTACGAAGTATGCTCATTTCAGAGCCCGAGAAATAGTTTTAGTTGGCTAAATGTGACCAGATAGGAAGTAGAGGGTGAGTGATCGTATATGCGTGTGAAGGACGTGGCCAAATAGGTGTTCGAAGGCCCCCATTTACTGCTTGAGAGCAGTGATATACAGCAACAAAAGTTAATTATTAAGCACACGGTTTTCAATAGAGCGCAAACAGGATTGGTGTAACCCACGCTCCTGGCTATATTAACGACGCCCGAAGTGTTAAACAATGACCTTAACACAAGCCAATGGCAGCTCTCGTATGTAACTTACATAAATATTAAAGTAGCGAACACATGGATGTTAAAGCCATAAAGAACGAAATTTATTAATTAACTATTGATCACATAGATGAACCGTCGATAACCAATAACGTTCGTGTATCGAGATGCAGCATTAATGGACGGTGAGTTTTTCCTTCGAGTCTACTAACATAAATATCTGGTCGATTGAAGCCATTGACCATTCACCATTCGCCCTCCTCAGACGTAATTTAAGCCGTCCGGAAACCCACAGTGTTCCGAAACACCGTCTCCTAGCTTACACCACGGAACGCAGCCACGCCCCACAGCAGCGGACAGACACGAGACCTCGACAGCAACACATTTAATAAAACGCCCAAGCAGGCCCAGTCAACAACCAACTGCACCATAAACAGTGAGCAATCGAAAACGCAAGGCGATTTAGTGACGCGGTTGTTGGCGTTTACGTGGTGCGGCCCGCATTATGTCGTCGACTCGAATGATCATCTCGGCAGCCTCAGATGCCGATATAATCATTTGGCGCTTCACATTATAGGATTCAGTGATTCCCAGATCCTCCATATTGGCGATACATCCGTGTTCCATATCTGAACGAACGAGAACAGAAAGACTATGACCCTACATAAACTACAACAAATCTCAAAATTCAAATCCAATTTTGAAACAGAGTAGTACAAATACTATTTCAACTCACCGAGACCCATGTCAGAGTTGCCTGTAGCATGCGCAGCCCTAAGCTGAGAAACCAGTTCGGCACTGTCGTAGCCGCCATTGTCAGCAATTATGGCCGGCAGACGTCGCAGAGCAGTTGCAAAGGCCTCCATGGCGATTGCCATTTTTCCAGGTGTCGAAGCTGCAGCTTTTGCGACGGCCTCTGCCATGAGCATTTCCATGGCACCTCCACCGCTAATGGTGCGTGGATCCTTCACAGTCTGCTGCAGCACACAGAGCGCATCGTGCAATGAGCGTTCGGCTTCTGACAGAATCGAGTTAGTGGCCCCGCGCAACACTATTGTACAAGCCTCTCCGAGTGCCACACCCGAGAATTTAATGAGACGGTCCTCCCCGATTGTCGTCTAAAAAACAATGGAAAAGTCATGAAACAGAAATCGAATAATCATGTGAACACCACTAACTTACCTCTTCAATGAGGTCGCAGTGTCCAAGCTTCGCAGTTTCAGGAGAATCGAAGGTGGAGACGATTTCTCCGCCAGTTACAAGTGCAAGTCTCTCAACGCCCTCAAAGTCGGCGTGCTCTATGGCCATCACATTAGCATCGGCGAAAAGTTGCTCAGGGTAATTGTAGATCAACTGACGATTAATGAAAACATTGCAGCCATGCTTGATAATTTTCTCAACTTTATCCCGCATTTTCTCCTTCTCAGCGATTTCCAAATCAGCTATCTTTGAGATGGCATCAACGCGAATTTTAGACCCAAAAATTTTTATTTTATCAGCATCCATAGGCGTGTTTGCAATGAGAATATTAGCATTTTCAATGCGCTTTGGTTGGTTCACACCAATCTTCTTGTCCAAGAGAAAACCTTCATCCAGGTAAGAGTCGGATAGCGTGCCACCAAGTTTTTGGATAATCTGAAATAATGAGAGCTTTCCGTGTAGCATTGCTGATGAATGAGTGAATGACAAACCCGTTTAGAAATGCGCACCTGAATAGCATCGAGATTTCCACTGCCCTTTAACCGCAAAACAGCGTCGACAGCAAGTTTTGCGAAATGCTCCTTATGATGGGTCAGCAATTTCGAGCTTAAAGTAGTTCTGGCAACCCTGAGAAGCTGTTCTTTAAAACTTGCATCACTATGACGTTCAGAATCATCGCATGGATGGTTTTTAGCGGCATTTCTAAGGGCGTCTAACGCAACTTTTGTGGACTCCCGCCATCCAGCCACGATAGTTTGTGGATGGAGCTTTGAAGAAACAAGAGTCTCTGCTTCCTAAATTAGGAAAATTGCGGTTCAAGAGAGAAGACTCCCATGCTTACCCGAAGAAGCTCAGATGCCAAGACAGTGACAGAAGTTGTTCCATCACCAACCTCATTGTCCTGAACCTTGCTCATCTCTAAAAGGAAACAATCCATTTTTTTCAAACGCATACCGACAAGAATCTTGGCAGCAGGATTATCAATGCCAATCGACTTAAGTATTGTGGCACCATCATTAGTAACTTCGTATGTTTCCCCGGACAAAAGAATTTTGTCCATTCCTTTGGGGCCGAGAGTGCTTTTGACCAGATCTCCGATGGCGATAGCACCCATACAAGAGGACTAAGATTATAGAATAAAAAATAAAGATCCAAAAACTTGCCAGGCGTGCAGTTTCTGCTTTCTCCTCATCAGCACCTGGATTCAGAACTTGTACAGGCTGTAAGGCGAACTAGAGGACAAGGAGGCAAGTAAAATGAGCAAACGATAAAAGGGCAAATATTTACAAAACGGAGAAACGCCAAGAGGGACCAAAACTTACGGAACCTGCCTAAATGGCGGAGACGGACTAGTGATTACAAACTAAACCCGCAAACTATACCCAGGTCACCCACAACAGAAAAACCTTTCCTAAAACTATCTCCATCATGCGAAGGAATGGATTCAACCAATTAATACCCAATAGAGACAAGACGATGTCCTCCTCGGTACACACTCTATTTAAAAAAATACTGGTACTACAACAGATATGTCCAACTAACATTTACATTTAGCCTTCCTACAGCGATAAGCTAGCCATTAAAAAATGTCACCAAACCCAACCCACCATGACTAAGATGAAATGGTGCACACCACAAATTTCCCGCCACAAACCAATACAAGGAGACAATGAGTAGATTGGCAAATCTGGCAGTCGACCTAAAACCGTCATAAATGCATTAGGGATACATTTAGTTAGATACCTTTTTAAAATTGCTGCCTTAAAAGCACTTAATCACAATTTAATATTAAAATTACAGCAATTTGCATAAAATAAGTTCACTAGGAAAAGATGTATGAAATATTTTCGTGCCGAAAGGAATGTATATTTGATAACTTTTACTCCAAGTCGCTGAAATATACTTTGTGCACGAAAGTTGGTTGTGTTGAAGCTCCATACAAGCGCATGTATATAATGGTGGAGTTGTTATGGTACGTATGCATTCATAGTGTTCTCGACTGGAGCTAGAATGGTTAATCAATCTCTGAGGCTTGTCATAGATTTATGTCTTCTCTCCTCTCCCTCTTTGTTTATGTTGCAAGAGCCGCCTGTCTACCCTCTGATCCCTGAACCTCAGACTTCATGTGACAGTTGTCTGCGGATGATTTACTGGGCATTTGTTATTAGGAAGGATGGGGAATGGGATGCAGATGAGGCGAGTAGGAGATATCAATTGGAGGGAGACTCCTCGCTGGCTTCACGCACATGATTCGCGTTCCCAATTGAAGCTCGCCTCCAACCTATGAAAGTACACTTAAACAAACTGGTATATATTACATTTGTGATAATCGATATAGCAAAAGGTTACATCGGCATTAATTCTGACATTCTAGGCGTTGAATAGCCTTTGTGCCAATGTAATTTATACGATTTTTTAAGTGGGCCTTTATAGGGAAGAAGCGGGAAGCGAACTCGAACGAAAATTCGGTGTATTAGGACCATGAGGAATCACTCTTTCAGTTCTATCTGCTATTCGGTGTAATATATTCTAGCTTGTTTAAGTGGACTTTGATGGGTGAGAATCGGGGACCAATTGCGTGAAGTCGGCGAGGAGCCTCCTTACGATTGACATCTCTTACTCACCTTATCTGTATCCTATTCCCCATCCTTCCTAACAGCGAAGCCTAATAAATCGTCTGCAACCAACTACCTCTTAAAGTCTGGGAACCTGGGACCAGAGGATAGACAGGCAGTAACTACATTCGGCTCATCTGTACTACTCTCCCCTGTTCGTACTGTATTCAGTGCCTAATAAATCTATTGCAACTGTAGGAACTGCCCGCCTAGCCTCATGCTCTTGAACTGCGGACGTCAGGTGGGGTTAGTTGCAGTAGTTTTAGTAAGCATTGATTACAAGAAGAACGACGATAGGGGTACAGCTGAACCAAATAGCAGATTCCACCAGGAGAGGGATTTCTCACGGTCCTCACACATAGGGTTCGCGTACTATATTGGTTCCCGCGTCTCTTCTATAAAGGTGCACTTCAACACTAGTATATATTAGTGTAATGCTTTGTTTATGTCACTATCTGACCCTTGTTCACGTGGGCTGACTCCTGGGTCATGCTCAGGCCCCAACTGCCCTGTCGTCTTCGGTAATACATGTATTTAACCTCACTTATGCCATCAATCACCCCATGGGAAGCCTTGGGACGCTACAATTACAGCAACTAACCCTCTATTAAAGTCCGAGATTCAAGGACATGAGGATAGGCAGGCAGGTACTACACCTAAGCGCATTCGCTTTAACTTGACGTCTTCTTTAACTTAATTAAAAGTTTCGAAGACATGTATTTTCATATTAAAAAATAGCTAAACTTCCGAACCTAAATTAAACCCCAGCTGAGCACAAAAAGCAGCACTTGGATTTTTTAACCTAGTTCCAGCATTCTACCTTCAAGCAGTTTGTACCACCTCAGACGCTCTCAAGACGCACATCATATACTCTTTTTTCTTCTGATGATACAGAACAACACCTAACTTGTTCGACGTAGCGTGTGACTGTAATGCTTTGTTTATGTGACTACCTGACGTTTGGCGGTCACTTTAGAACTTGTCTGGGCCCTGTACACGTGAGCTGGCCTTCGGGCCACGCTCAGGCCCCATTTCTCCTAATGCTTTCGGAATACATGTACTCAACCTCACTTATGTCTTCTACTACCCCATTGGAAGCCTCGGGACGCTACAATTACCAAAGTTGAACGGACTTTCTGATCGTCTCATGTTATCGACAACCTCATGTGTGTCGAAATGCATGAAACACGTCATGGCTAATTATTCTACAACTTAGCAACGTTAATTATTAACAAAAGCTTAACTTTTTCTAACTTAAAGTGGTTCCTTTTTGCGCAATCAGACAGGGCTGGTAATGTAATTAAATTAATATCTGCTCCGAGGCTCCCCGAAGACAGAAAAACACGTGCCTTGCAGCGCCATGGTACTTCCTACATGGTGGAAAAATGCATCATATTGGTCAAAATACATTTATTCTGAAAGGAGAAGTTTACGAAATCCCCTGGCTTGACTTAAGGGCCAGCCCATGGTGAGACTGTGAGACGGATACCAAGTTAGTGCCAGACATCAAATGAACGCATACCTTAGGTATCACATGCTGTAATGCTTTGTTTGGCGGCAGCTTTGGAATTTGTTTGGCTCTTATAATTGAGGACCGGCATTCCGACCATGCTTAGACCTAGTTGATTTTCCCCCTTGGAACACATTGCACTGCTTTATTTATGTGACCACATGAAGTTTGGCGGTTACTTGAAAATTTTTTTGGCCCCTGTACAAATAGCCTGGTCCTCCACCACCCTATTTATGCCCTCTTCCACCCTATAGGAGGCCTTGAGACGCTATACACACGTATTTAGCTTTATTTTCTGTCCTTTATTTTCTGGAAAATTACAGGACGCTACACATGCATCCTGCGATCATGCATTCCACTCGCATTAACATATACATAACTAAAAAAACAGTGATGCATACATTAAGTATAAAACTCTACTATGTCGTCATTTACATCAATTAACTTCTGCACTTAAATTGGGTTGTCAATTTATTATAAGAAACACCACTCGCAATTATGTGTATTAAACGTCTAATCTTTTTCTTTTTGAAATTATTTACAACTTTTTTGAATAATCCTTTCATGGCGATTCCATGTTGTTATACTGAAGTATTTACAGTGGGTTTCCGCGCCGGGTTTCATTTGTTGTTCCCGCTAACCTTGTTGTACATTCGCTTTGCTCATCGCGTGCTACTCCTCCCGGATCCCTTTGACAGCATGGTTCCTCCTGCTAACCATTTAAAACCAGCAGTCGTTAAGGAGGTAGCAAGATATCATCAATTACCCTTTAGATCGATTGCTTCATATCACCTAATTTCTCGAAGAGGCTGCTACTGCTCTTGGTATCTGTTCTTTGTCATTTATGTTCTTTAGCATAAAAATCGAACTAAGGAACGGCCGCTGGAGACCGAAAACATAAGAGGAACTCGCATTAAAGCTACATTGGATCATTTGGAAATAAATGTAGGCGATGGAAGATTGGACAACATCAAGTCCAGCGCTGAAAAAAAGTTAGTCGTATTTCCACAGTTACCTTGCTGCAGAGATTCTTATACGCTTAGGTCAATTCCGACTAAAAAGGAGGCGTCGCTTCTAGGATATTTTATAAATGGTAACTCTGGTAAATTATCAGTTTATTGGTAGATGAGTGTCATTTCATTCCCCTAAAGAGTGGTCCTCTTATAATGGACAATGTTAAAGAGCCGGTTAAAAGTAGGTTTATGCATTTTTTGAATGCTTTTGTTGTTTTTGCGTTCCGCTCTTAGTGTCCGAACTTGGTAATGGGTCCCATAATGGTGTCGACGATTCCGCCACCTCGATGTCGCCAGCAAAGCCAACTGTAGTTTCTGTACGAATGCGAACTGAGGCTGAGATTTTTGGGGCAAAACGTGCTGCAAGTCGGCGAAAGACGGCAGACAATGATGATGATTTAAGGTACCTATCACAACTTTTTTTAGTGCCTTGGAAACCGGCTACATTCAGAACACATAAGGTAAAGTTGTGGTTTATGTTCTAAGTATTTAGCCCATGTATGCCTTCGAACATCGCTCAGCTCTTATGTGTTCTGTGGAGAGTGCTTCGATTGGCGGTCCTGAATTCACTCGAGATAATTGGGAAGCGCTACTTCTGTCGCCTCTTCGTGAAGAGGCTCTGGAGTGTGTTTATTGTCTTTACATTTATTGATAGTCTTACTTTTCATCATATCGTTTCTCTCTGAAATAGCGGTCATTATAATTGCCATAAAAGTAAAAGACGCTCTATAAAAGCTTTATGGCCATACGAATTTTCGTTATTCCAGGACAACTCGTTTTGGAAATGAATTGAAGAAAGCGGCTACGTTGGAAGATCTTGTGCGAGTTCTTCTTTTAAAAAGTGTGGGGAGTTGGATAAGTTGTTAATTTTTCTTGCCTTGATACTAGTCTCAGTGGTTCTTCTCCGTTTCAGCTCGGGTCATCAAATTCGATAAGTTGCTTGAATGCCTGCGTGAGCGTTCACCCGACAAGAATCTTGTCACTCCAGCTGCTGTAATTCCAATCCTTAATCGACTAGCTGTTTTAGTTCGTGGTTGGTGGGTTGTTAGAAGGTAACGAGTTACTGAATCCTTTTGTGATTGCTATAACCTACTATTTTTCTGCAAGTCGTAGTCGTTCTCGCGTCTTTTAGTGCTTAAGTAGTCCTTTTTAATTTCAGTGACATTTTATATCCTCCAAATACATACAGTGAGCATGCATCAGTACCAAGTACCCAACTAATTAGAGCTCGTGATTATGTGGTAAGTTGGTACACCATTATATGAGGTGTTCCCTTTGCGCATGCTCATTCTCCTATCTCCTACCATCGAAGATGGCGGTGTTTCACCAAGGTGATCATCTCACAAGGAAGACCGTTTCGTCAATCACAAAAGTATGTCCCCGTAGGCCATACAAACTTTATATTATATTTTCATGCGTTCTTAATTAATCGTGCTAAGCAATGTACTATTAACCCTCTTGTAAAGTGATAGAATCAATTGTTTATAGTCCTCATCATAAATTCCGAATAATCCACCTTGGACCTATTTGATAAAAGGTATCTCGTCTAACCAATGTCGATATCTTGTTTATTGGCCTCTAATTCCATCATTTATGGCCATTGTCCTATTTGATAAAGATTGATAAAAAATGAACTAGATGTTCTGTTTTAGTTGCCCTCACTCGAAGTCACTGAAATCCTTGAACAACTTGGAACCCGAATCTCCTCCGATCTTGAGGGACATAACAACCATTGGGAATTCCGGCAGCCAGACATGACTTTCATTAACAAGCATGTTGGATTGATTATGATAATACTTGCATCACCTATTGCATTGGTTATCAATGTTCTGATTTATTCAAAGAACCTTTTCGTTACTTAGGTATCAAGATGTCGTCCATCAACAAGCAGGAAATTGGGAGCTTCGAATCAGACAACTATGTGCTCAGCTCAAACTCGAGGTGCTTGTCACAGGTGTGTGGCTTAATCTCGTTCAACTCCTTAGCGTCGACATCTTTGGAAATATATCCGCACTCCGCTTTCTAGTAATGCTCCAGTCCTTCGTAGAGTAGGTTTCTCTAACTGGCACAGTCATAGAAATCCTCTTTCCATTCTCGCAGTGTTATCAAACCTCTGAGTTTATTGTTTTGCGCACAAAAATGTGCCATAGCGTTTTATCCAAATTCTCGATTGAGCTTGACATCAAAATATTGATACGTTAATATAAAACCATAGATAAATTAGCCTTTCTGATCTTAAAGTGGCGCACTTTTACCCAGATGCTACACAGCGACGGCGAAGGTGTTCGGGTCGCCTCTCAGGGAGTGATTCGGACGAGATATTAACGCCTCTCAGTCCAAAACTGATGGGCGCCAAACGACCTCGCTGCCGCCTCCTCAGTCTCTCGCCGGAGGCCTCGGGACCAACCTCAAAGCGAGTGCGCACTCAGAGTGCATCGTCTGCAGGCCATGGTGTCTCTCCCCATCCACCCTCCAGTCCTCACAAGAACCCCCTGCCTAACCGACCTACTCCACCTCTATTCTCCGCTGGTTTAATTAATAAGCGCCACGCTCCCTCCACCTCTAAACCGAGTCAGAATGACTCACTTGAACGAACAGGACCAACGCCGCCATCATCACCACCGCTAGCTGATTCTTCCCTCCGATTGGTGACTGACCCCTCAACAGACCGTAAGTTCCCTTTGTGATTTGGCTCATACTTTTTACGCAAGAAGGCAACAGAATAAAGTCGTTTGATCTCAAACAGTTCTCAAGCAAGAGCCCAGTTCTCCTGAAAGGCATCACAACGGGTCGGAGACAGAGATGCAATCGCTTCCGCCTACTCTCATGGAAGCAATGCCAACTATAAACGCGGGAGCACCAGAGAAATTAGAGGAACCTGACTCCACAACTGAGCAGACCTGTTCGATGGTGGATGATCCTGCAATCTGCAGCTTTGTGAGAGAAAAGCTGCATTCACACCCGATTTTGGCGCTATCGGAACTAACCAAGGCTTGTCAGGTGACTACCGTTGTTGTGGATAAATACTGTGATGATAATCGACTGTAAACTCATTTCATTTTGTAGCCTTTTCTGGCGTCACTTGCCAATCAGATGACCAACGGTAAGGCAGCACCACCAGGCTCTGAGGCAGAGAGAGAGATGCTCAAATCAGAGCTCTATAAAGTCGTTCTCGCAGTTGGAGGTCGCGAGTTGCACATCCAATGGCCCGATGTACCCTCGGCCCTGCCCAAACAGCCGCTTTTCGTGGCGCCTGTTGCAGTCGAATTCGGCGATCCCAGTAGTCCGTTACACCAAGTGAGTCTTCAGGGCGCACACGTCTCCTGTTTTGTCTGGGTTAGAGGTGCAAAACGCATGCATTTCCTTAGAGAACCAACTTAAGTTCTTTATGGTTGTTCTTAGGCATTTGGAGTAGACTTCGTTGTCAAAGCTGCTTGTCACATGGCCATTCAAAACAAATTAGTCGTTTTTGTTCACAAATGGTGATATGGCATTCTTTTCTAATAATTTAGGCCCGAGAGGCGATCTTAGAACGATTTGAAACATCCACGTTTGTGACCTACGGGATCATAAAGAAGAAGCTTACCGACGTCGGCCTCAAGATTCCCGATAATACTCTGAGGACCACTATTAAGGTATTGATAGTCTGCGATTTATACGCAATTCTCCCTTTAAACTACTAATCCCAAGATGTTTTTGTAGAGGTACTGTGTCTACCGTTATTCCAAATACTTTCTGCGATTCACCGTTAGTGACTAAGATTCAATGGTACAGACTTCCAGAAGGAATATGATTATGTAATTGTATTTGGTAATTAAAGTCATCCCAAATGTGGTTGTATTGAATCTACTGGGAAAATGTCAAAATGAGTAGCGGTAACAAACCCACTAAAGTTTTTATCTCCTCAATGCTCAAGGACATGCCCTTAGTGACGGTTTGGGAAGGAATTGAAAAGGTCAAGGGTGATAAAGACGGCTCGACATCTTCATCTATGTTTTGCAGCTAAAGAAATGGGGTGTTAAATTTTCAGACAAGTTGCCAATTGGGTTTTGGTTATTTCCTGGCGCTTCTTGGTCAGTTCCACAACTTTTTCCCTGCCTGCCTTTCTAGCGTGAATCAGGCGTTCCAGAAGTGAGTTTATGGTTTCAGTATCCCCCATTTAAAATTGACAGCATGGGTAATCCCTTCGAAGAGGGGTCGGCGTTCGATAGTGGCGCTGCGTTACTACTTCGGAAATGCAGTCAATATAAACGAATAATTTGGACTCCGTAGGAGCATAAGGAGGTGAATTACTACATGGATTTGAAGTGGAAAATAGTTGAGTTAGCATGAATGCCGATCAAGGTGCAAGCGCAGATTAGAGACTCAGTTGGAATAATTCGTGGGCGGTTTGTGTGAAGATGTCAGCAAGATGGGAGCATTATTTGCCTTTTCCTGAAGTTTTATCTTAATATTAACTTAGTGCAAATGTTGTGTAGATTTTCCAGTTGTAAATTGTTAAATCTCTTTCGCATTAATTACAAAATTCGCACACTTTTTAATGGGCATTGCATTTATTATGAACTGTCAGCATTGGACATTTGCAATCCCATTCGTGGCTTCTTGTGTCCAATTTAGGTAAAAGTGTATTGGTATGTTTGTTCAGTTCTGAACCCCAGTTTTAGTACCATTTGCTAGAAATTAAGGATTTTCATAGGCGGTTCGATTGTTTCGTTATAATTCCATAAATTGTTTCATCATACTAACGTGCTCGGTGTCGCTTGACCTTTTCTACAATCAAAGTCGTGTTGTTCAGCTCATTTTCATGTTGCCTACAGGGCTCAGGGAATGGCGGTAGAAGGAATTCCTTTTGAGAAGCAACGTAATTTTGCTGAAAAATGGTATGGTGTCCTTGCTTCGCAGTTTGTGTCAAAGTCGAAAGCTTTTTCTGAACTCTGGTCTGATTTGTACGCACCGAATAGCATTGTAATTGGAAGCATATTCTTTTTATCACTCGTTTTAACAGAGCGAATTAGCTGTTCACCACGGTAAAGTAAGAGAAGTAAGAGAAGTTTGCATGATGGCAAAGACTAAAAGCAGATGCGTCGTGGTTCTTACTGGACCTCCTGGCAGTTCCAAATCGACGTGTTTGTTGATTGTTTGCCGAACGCTGGGTTTCTCATATCCTCTTATATGGACAGAAGGCAATTGGGAGGGTGGTGACGCCACTACAAATGAATTACAACAATTCGAAGATTTTCTTTTTAAGTCTACTCATTATTTTGGTTCTGGTGACGAGTCGAAAGTTGATTTCAGTCTTTCCGGCCTAAGTCAGTGTTTAAAGACTCCACAGCTGGTGCTAATTGAGGTTTGTTAAATCTCATATAAAGTCTTCTTTGATGCGATGTATTTACGTTTTTTACTATGATTTTTGGAAACCGAATACCTTGAATCGATTGCTGAATGTTATTGCTATATTTTCTTTAAAGAGCTTGCCGTCTGGGTTTAGTGACAACCCCCTCCTCTTTCACAAATGCATTCGTTCAGCATTGTCAGACATTCTCGTGCCCACATTATTGGCTTTTGTGTTCACTAAATCATCGTCTGTTAACAACATTGGGACCCCTGTTACCTCCAATTTTGACGCCACTGCTTTGAGTCGGCTTTTTCCCAATTGCCTTAAACAAGAATTGGGTATTTGTCATATCGAATTCAACCCCATTGCACCGGTAATAATGACAAGAGCGCTTTCTCGGATTGTGGAGCTCGTATCTAACGAGGTACTTTTGATGCTTTAATAATAACGGTAGTATGTCCTTACTCCCTTTTATTATTTAAAACATTGTTTTTGGAGACTAGGTTTTATTTTTTTGTCGATGGTCAACGTTAAAGTGGGTCTCATTTTATTCAGCCGCTTTTTATTACGTGTACTTGCGTTTGAACTTTTAACGATATAATTCATTGATGCGCTTTCGTTTGTTACGAATTACTTTACCCTAGACTGGTGCTTCTATGCCTCCAAAGCCTTTTCTCCAACAATTAGCTGCATCCAGTTCTGGTGATATCCGTCTGGCCATCAATACTCTTCAGTTTGCTATCATGCCTGGTTAGCCCTCTTTGATTCCGATGTTTTTCATTTGTTAATCTGTTTTCTTTTGCATGCACACTTCCTTGATGATTTTGCTGCCTTTTTCACAAATATTTTTTTGCTCAGATAGCAATTTTAATTTAGAAATGAAGTCAAAAAGAAAGTTTTGGTTGGACAGTGGTTTTTGCGGACGAGATTCGGGACTTGCTGTTTTTCACGCGTTGGGGAAGATTCTTCATGCTAAGCGTATGCTTTTTCCCTACAATCAAGAATTTGGATTGATTGTCGGCACTTGCATTACTTGCATTGTTTCTCCTTTTCATGGTCTAGGACTCGGAGACTCCACTTCATGCAATGAATCCTTCCTTCCTCCTCATTTGCTATCGTGGAAGCGAACTTCTCTGTCTTTCAACCCTGAAGTACGTCTGTTTATTTTTCTTAGGTATTTCACCTAGCAAGACCCATTAAGTGATTCATGGCTTTAGACTGGGGACATTCATCCTTTATCACAATTTTCGCTACTTTAAAGCGATTTAAATATACTCCTTCATGTAGCTTTACTCTTCATGTATTATATTTATTTCTTATATAGTCCTACTTTATTTATACGTAGTAGTTATTTTGATTAAAGTAAATTGTTATCCTCTATCCCTTAGACAATCTTAAATCAAAGCGGTCTGACCGGTGATGATGTGGTTGCCTGGTTGCACGAAAATTACCTGGCCTTTCATGATACTCCAGCGTTATTTGAAGCTCTGGAATGGATCAGCTCTCAGGCTGGATGGGCTGATGCTCACCTCTCCGGTGGAATGAACTGGCGTCTCGGACTTACCCCCGCTGCAGACCGCAATTCCTTCTCCTCCACTGGCACTGCTTGTTCCGCTGGAAGTCATTATGCTGCCATAGCAGTATCTCGCGCCATTGCTATTTGTTCTTCAACAAAGGTGATTGGCAATACTAGCAGCAAATTTCGGCCCCTCAAAGCGCCCCAATTGAAGCAGGTAGAAGCACGACAACGTAGCTCACTGCAGGCACTGAGAGCTTCCTTTGAGTTATCTGTTGATGTACTTCGGACAAAGGAGGCTCTGATTGATGGATTGAGGTGGTATCTTCTTGATCGGCTACCGCTAGAATTTACAATTCTTGGCTCGAGGTTTCCTGGTAAGTAGGTACTTGCATTTGTACCATCAGTTGTGTTCTTTGGCATTTAAATGCAAATTTTACTGCCTTTAAATCAGGCTGCTGAGTTTGCTGTTAACCATTTGATGTATTAGAAACGGAGGTGTCTGTTATTGGTAAGTGTCCTTCGCTAGTCAGCAAGTGTAAGTTTGGTGTTCGTAAATACAACGGTAGTTTCAACAATTTATCCCTGCCTAAACGTTAGATCCAGGAGACAACTGATGGACTGTTGACATGATTTCGCACACGATAAGTTGGCATTTTTGAGACCTCTCGACTTGGGCAATTGTTCCCAAGTGGTGTTGTTGATGGAAGTGTTAGTGTTGTATGTTACGAGGAAAATCTATTCTGAAATTCTCGGCCTTTATTTAGTTTGATAAATTCAGGACAAGAATGGTGCTTATTCGTAATGAAAGGTAGTTTTTTGTCGCTGGTACGAATCAAAGTTTTCTGAGTCCATTTTGACCTACTTCCACTTTATGATGTGAGAATTTCTTCAGCCTATAGTGATACTGGAGGAGCGAAAATGTTAACAGAGCAGAATGGCGTACCCATGCTTGAGGCAGCCGTAGTGTGTTGCGAATTCAGCCATTTCTTAGGGTTTTATCCTCTCCAATGCATTTCTTCTTCTCTCTTCTCATCACACGGGTCCAGTTGAAAGCTGGTTTCTAGTTTCCATTTCTTCTTTGTCCAGGGAGCATAGAAGTCATCTCTTCGCTATGCCGCTTTCAAGACCCTAATGGGGTCGGTGAGCGTGATTTTCGAAGAATCAAGGTCGGCAACGTCCCCATGAGAGGACACTGTGCCCCTTTTGATGGTGCCACCGATGCTGATGCAGAAGTCACAATTGACGAGAACTTTAGTGATGAGGAATGTCCTCCATCATCCCTTTAGAACGATCGTTTCAATTCTCTTCAAAATCCTTCTAATTCCACACATTTTGTGCGTTATTTTTGCAGTCTTTGTTCTCCCTTCATATTACCAAAAATATCCCTTGCATTTGCAGGAATAAAACTGTAGATAAGAGCTTAAAAGTGGATGATTCGCTTATTATGTAGATACTGTTCATAATTATTGCCATCCTCAGCCTCTACTTGATCATATTACTTGATAAACACAACGGATAAGTGATGGTGTTTATGAACCTCTCTCTAGCTCACTAACCGGCCATTTATTCTCTATAGGTTTACCACACCACTTCGTGAATCTTGTTTGCGTAGAATTTGATTTGACTTAGATGCATTTTTAAAATGAATGAGGAGTGGCTGGTTTTTCTCATACCTATATTTCTTTCTGGGGTTATGTGCACACTTTTGCTAGCATAACTGAGGGTGGCTAATCCCGAGTAATCCAGCAGAAGCCGATGCATTTGATTTTCCAATGGGTCTTTAACAATGCGGTCACATCCGGTAGGCTTGTCGCATAAGCCTGACCTGACTGACCTGAGACAATTGTAGTCTCACGCCACGGGGTACTGCCTCCTCCATACCCAGACTCGGGACACAACAAGATCGTGTTGCGACTGTGGCAGCATAATCATGTGTCTCGCAGAGACGTGGTTCATGCAGTCATGAATTGGACTTTGAGGGTTTCACGAAATTTGTTCGAAAAATCCAAGCCAGATGTGCTACGAGCTTCGACCAACACTACTATTACTCCTCCCGTAAAGAACTATATTATGGTAATGAGAAGACATTAGTGGACAATGCAAAACCAGCATTGGATGGTTGTGAAACATGTCAAGCAATCAGTTTGTCCAACTACAAAGTTCTCGTTGTTTTCATGTCTTGCCCTACGACAGTTGATGAATTGAAAGGAGTAATAAGCAAATTCGACGAAAACAAAATAGTAAATGCATGAATTGGAGACTGCGCCCCAGAATCATTAGGCGAAATTATTCAGTCGAGAAAGGAATTGTCAGGTTAAAAGTAGATAATGGGTCTGCAAAATATATTTCGTCATATCTCTGGGATCGAAGTTTAGCTTGTGTGACTAAGTGCCAAAGAACTGAGTGCGAAACAGCATATAAAAACGAACAAGGAAACCAGTTAGGCCGTAAGACCACGCATGGCCGCTTACAAAACACTTCGAAACCGGAAACTAGCTTCCTAACGAACCCTAACGGCCTCATGATTTTGAGTTTACCCCTGCAACGAAGCCCCATAAAAACCCCATGCCAAGATGCCTCACTAGACGATTATAGCTAACTTGCCCAAGTAACGTTGACCAGACCATAAGTCACTTTAAGAATAAGATGCAGAAATGTTCTGAAGTGATAGTACAAGCTACAGTCACGCTGAAGCAACGCGAAGACCACTTTCAGACCATCCCTGGGCTGTCTTAAACAGGAACACAAGGAGTCTAGTTAAACACCTCCGACTCAATAACGAATTGTCAACAAATCTAAGAGTATAAACACCAGAATTCACGAGTCACAAAAATAAGAAATTGATAGGCGTAAAAAACAAAATGATGCTCGGGAACCTCCGTTGGTTCCAAGCAGGGCTGTGATTCATATTCACTATAAATACACATCCCCTTGGAACGTAAGGAGGTTCGAGTACTGTCGCCCATATTCATTCGCCCACAGAATTGATAAGTAGAAACCAAGTAGGGACAAAATCATAGTCGAGCACAATTCTGCAATCAAAGTTCAACCCGATCAAGTAGCGAACATGACACACAACGGGTAAACAGAGCACAAATTCAAACCCAAATAGTTTACAGTCGCATCAGATGCTTTTTGGTCCATTAAAACAAACCTAGTTTAAAAATGCTATTATTACCTTTTTATTTCATAAAGCCATCTATTTTTGAATTTTAAAAATAAAAACTTTTAAATATTTTGTTTTGTTGCAAAAAGCATTTATAGTCAAAAAATTGTTGCGAATAATTGCAATAACATTATAAGACATTGTTACTGAAAGTAGGGATTTTCCTTAATTTTCCTTAATTTTGTCTGTGCTTACATGTTATGGTCCTTGGGCATAATGGTTTATGACTCGCCTCTCAGCCTACGTGTTCACTGTCCAAGTTTGCGCATTGCTTGTTTGGTGTTCTTTGTACTTGTTTGCAGTTCTGCCGCTCAATTGACGGTTTGTATTGACATTTAAAAATTAGCTTTGGTTTCTGTTATAAACCTGGGGGGTTTCGGCCGGCTGCTCGCGATCTTTTGTCGCACTAGTGTCTGGTTTGTCTTCCTTGCTCTCAATAACAGCAATTTTGCTTGAATTTCATAATTTTTCCTCATCACAATCGTGTGATTCTTATCTTAGACTTTAGAAATTTCCAAATATTTATTTCTATGGGATGTGAATGGGTGATTCCTAGGCTTATTAGAGATTTTTCTGTGCTTTACACCTTAAAAGTTGATTTTTCTGCTGCATATGCATATTTTTTAAAATTAGACGTTGTCTTTTTATTCTTTTAAGTCTGTGGTCGTTGTGCTTTCTTTTTTCTTTGTAGGTAACGAATCCTTTGCACAATCCTCTGAGTTTCAATGTCTCCATTGAGTCTGTACTTGGTTTTATGCTTCAATTCTCTAGTAATCTGACGTACGTCTCCTGCATCTAATTATGTTTTCTTTCTGGTGTAACTAGCTCACTCTAATTGTCCTCGGTCTTTAGGCTTTACAGGTGTCGTGTCAACCAAACTTTGCGCAAACGGACCTATGAATTTGCACTTTTCCAATCGTCCTTTCGTCTGTTCCTTTCCAGGCTGCAGTTATCGCGGGAAGACCAGCTCGCAGTTAGCTCAACACAGAGCCACTCACGGTCTGGGTAAGCACCTGTAAACGGATACAAAGGTCTGCATCGTTGTAGATTAACAGACTTTGCATTTGACAGGTTATGTGTACGCCTGTGAGTTTTGCGACTATCGAGCTACTACTTCGACAAATTTACGCCGGCACTCTCGTCTCCATTTGGACACACGACCTTATCGTTGTCCACATTGTCCGCATACATTTGTTGAGCTTTCGGCGCTGCGTAGGCACGTCCTCGACTCTGCCTACCACCCGGGGCTACCGCTCTATGTTTGCCCATGGTGCTCGCCTTCAGCTGACCAATCCCGCGCTCCCTCATCCGTCTCTGCTATTAATTCCGCCTCCGCTGCTCCTGCTTCCCTTATCATTGATTCTCCTATTGCGTTGCAAAGATTTGCTGATCCTGGTGTCTGTGGCTTTAACTCCTCTTCTCTGGCCTGGAAACATGTGGTTCAGGCGCATGCTGATCAGCTCTCTAGTCCTGAGACTCTGCAGAGGCTAGGACGAAAAGCAGGTGAAACACTAATTGAGGTAGCTTCAAATTCACGTGATCTAGGTCTATCGGCGCACTTATTGGGTGATCGAAGGGTGATCGCGTGCTTATAACGTTGTTTGATACATGTATAGTACGTCATTCTTGTCTTCTACCCTTCGTTGTGTCTTTTTGGTGAATGTTTCTGCTAAATTAACTGACCATGAAATCCCTCAATAAGCGATAGTCACTGTTTTTTATGCATTCTTGTCGTGGGGGATTGTTTTTAACTTTCACTTCACTCCTTTTAGCATGATGTGTCCCTCATCTTTGGACTTTATCACCCCAGTGAGGATGGGAAATTCCGCCCATCATCGGCTGTACGTCAGTTCAATGCTGTCGCCACTGTTCGAACGCACCAACGGATGCGTTCAAACAGTAATAGGCTAAGGAGTATCACCAACAGGAAACGTTTACTGCCGCATGACACGTCTTCAGCTCAGTCAGGTACTACTTGCACTCTCTGTTCTGCCCTCAAATGAGGTTTCAGGGTAGATTAAAGGAGTTTCCCGCGTCGTTCTCAGTGTTAATAGTCAACTCGTCATCGGTTGGGAACGGTGACGCAGCATCATCAACCGCTGCGGTAATCACACCAAGCGGAATGGAGAACACGGATTTGCTGAAGTTCCCCCAGGTCCAGGGTATGGTAGCGCTTCCTGGAGGTGTTCTGTGGTCCGCGTCAGCTTTTCAGTCAGAGTTGATCAGAGCCACTGGTGGGAGTGTTCACTGCCACCAAAAGTCACCATGAGAAATTGCCTGTACATATTTGGCTGGTGTCATTAAATCGCATGTATAGTAGTTGGTTTGGGCTTCTCCTCGACTCTTCGTGGTGCTTCGTGGTGTGGGTGCTGGGCGGTTGGTGGGTCTTGTTGGGGTCCTGGAGACGTTGAACAAAGTATTGATGGCGGACGGGCAGGTCTGTGCTTGTAAAAATCGAGAACATGATCAACAAACAAACAAATCGTTTCGAGGAAAATCAATACAAATAATTTTTACGTATTTAAATTCTGTCTGTGATTCAGCAGGTATGATCCTTTACCTACTTAAAAAACTAATGAGATCTTAGTTTCACTGTGAAAGTGTCATTTCAGCCTCTTACTGTCGACCTATGAGATGACTCTCGATGTTTCTATTGCCAAGGCGTCTGTTTTGACTGAAAGTGCTATCCGGGTAAGAACTGTTTCCTTCTGAATCACTTTTCAGTACCGATCAATTTTACACGGTCTCGACCATCGGCGTATTAACGTCTATCGTGTTTACTATTCTAAGTCGTTTTCGTTCATAGCGAACGTATGCCTGGGCATACTCTTTATTTTACCTTTTTTTGAATGGCCTTCATCTCTTACACGTTCTTCATGTATGGGAAATTCGATTGAGCGTCCCGTTGTCCCATGCGGGATTTTAGAAGGCTTGGAAGCTCTATGCTTATCTGTTTTTTTGGTTCGAGGCCTTTTGTTGGTAAGATATTCCAAATTCATTTTGTATTTGCCTCATCCTCCCTTGGTGGCTTTTGTAGTTAGTGTGTATCTGAGTCTGTAATTGCAATGATTATTCTGATCCAACTGCGCTTGCTAAAGTATTACAGTTTTCTACCTTTAAATAAAACCAAAATCTACCTCGTATTATGCCTGTAGGATTTTGAGAATCAATAAATAGGCGAGTAGGCTTTCTGGACCCTTTACCCTCGACCTTGTTCACGTTATTCGTGCGCCAGGTAACAAAACCCCTTTTGCTTTTTGTGAAAAGGCTTTCTTGTTTTGGAGGGAAGAATTTCTGCGCAATAGATGGCTTATTGGTCAGTTTGTGGTGCTTGCAATCTCCTTTATTGATCTACTCGTGTCGATTTCCACTGGATGTTTTGAGGTTTGATGACTCCTCTAACTTCATCTTTGTCTTTCGTTTATGACCAATCATTTGCATACGGTCCTAATATGAGCCTGATTTTTGCATTCTGATTTAAACTTCTTGTTCTAATTATTTAGCTATTTTATTGTGGTGAACTAAATCCTATCTGTACCATTCAGGTCGTCTCAGTTCGCTTTGATTCATCAATTTCGTTGTGTCAAGTTTGATTAGAAGCTCTGATTCTTTTTTTTAGATTATCATTTCTTAGATCAACTCAGTGTTTACAACTAGCTGTTCTTCTTACCGTCTACTTCGACTATTTTGATTAAGATGGTATTTAGTCATAATTCTATTTAGACATTGTAGCTGTTCAATCTCGTGTATTTGCTTTGAGTGTTTTGCTTTAGCTTTACCGTATTCGGCGTTTCTTTCGGCCATATTTCTTGATTTCTGGAAGTCAGATGCTAAAGAAGACGATCAAGTGCCTGTGGAACACACTACCTGAACTGCTGGGGTATGTTTATCGCTTCTCCAGTGTTCTATTAATTACCTCGTTTCTCTCCGCTGTGGCATACCCCTCTCAATATTTTGTTTAAAGGTTTTTGCTCCTCTTGATGCTCTGGATACTCAGTGCCACGGTAGTCGCAATGTGTCTCTTTTCTGGACCTCTTCGTCAGAAATCCTATCATTATTCGGTGCGTTTCCTCATTTCTGTTTTATACCTAATGCTTTGTTGAGTCATCTTTCTTTAAAATGTTTGTTCATTCTCATCTTAACGGAGGTTATCATCAAATGCTGGACAGTTGAATTCTGCGAACTCTCTTGAGCGTTTTTTATTACTGGCCTCTGGCACTTTAGTACATTTTTGCTAAAACTGAATTGATAAATAAACAGTTTCACGAGCTGTATCATTGTTCAAAAACTCCAAGGCCATTGTATGCTTACTCTTATTTTATGTAGGCAACGAGCCACTTTTACAAACCTGATCGAGCTGGTTTGCATTGGCTTTATGAAACATTTTACAATCTTATCGTTCTCCTCACCACAGCCAATCATCCAGATGGTGAGTCATTTTGCATCTGTAGATTTTTAAAGAGCAACACGTTTTTTGAAGTCCATGTTTATATATCAACCCATTTTCTCAAAACGATGATTGCTTGAATCTAGCTGTGTCAACAGAAAGTGTTTCTATTGCAAACGGCGTTTTCCTCCAGTGTATCGTTGAAAGCTGGTTCTCATTCCAAATTGTTCATTATTTGCTAGGGCTTTTGAATGTATCTACTTCTAAGTTTAAGGGCTATTTCCCTCTTGGCGTCTTGTTTCCTAAAATCCGCGAAAACAATTTCTTGGGTTTTAAAAGCCTTTGTATTTTTTGATCTCTCAAAAAATTTGATGCTGTTTTTTTTCTCATATTGTGCTACTTAGACAGGAATACTTTCACTTTTCTGCCACCTCTTGCATTCTACGTTTCCCTGCTCCTTAAATGTCCATCCATGTTACTCAGCCTTTTCCGTGATAGACTGTCTACCGATTATTGCCTCACCCATCATTCGTTTTTTGTGAACCTATACTTTGAATCACTACTTTTGTTATGAATCTGTTTGATCTTGCATAAAATGCGCTTGTAAGACCCATCCGACAAAGCAATGAAAGGCCATTCATCGTTTGATCAAATTTAATAAACGCCACGGCTTTGGGTCCTCAAAAGTTTTCAATAGCCTTACGCTTCAAATGTGTTTTATTTGATGCTCTCAGTCATTCTCCCAAACTACAGCGAGAATCGTGCGGCTGCTTTCTTTGACATCGGCTTTCTCGCCGTGGGGACGTATATTTTTATGAACATCTTCACAGCCATCATGTACAACCAATTTCGAGGCTATCTTCTTGTGCGTTGCTAATGTTCATTGGCAATTTTCGAAAACACATGCACATTCTAATTAGTTTGATCCTTTTCTATCTCCTCCTCCTTTTAGTCTTCCGTCCACAAACGCATTTTCAGGCGACGTGTTGCCATCCGCGCTGCATTCGAGGTTCTCAAATCGCGAGATCCGTGAGTTGCCATTCACTTGGTGTTGCCTTTCGCTTCGATGGATTAGCGTAACCCACTAGTCAGCGAGCATTGGCAGGCATTCGAAGCTTTAGTTTCAGAGGTTTTCCTCGTGGTTTGTTAACTCGAAAAGCATTCGTAACTGGCTCCATGCATTGATTTTCTAAAAATTTTTTCGCTATTGTTGGTCATTCTGGGGTTCCTTTTGTAACCCCTTCAACCTCGTCGTGTAAACTGATGGTCTAGGATTTACTAATTTTGGGAAAATCCCTCACATTGTAGTTTTCCAGTCAAGTATAGTTTGTTTTTTTAACTTCTACGTAGTTGCTTCGGTCAGTAGATTAATTTTTCATTCTTCCAATGAATCCATTGTAAGTGCGGCAAAATTTGATCCAACAGTTTATAATAACCACTTAGAAGTATGCCTTATTCTAGTTTTCGTGTTGTTATGAAGCAAGCCCAGTATTCCAAAGTGAAATATTTTCTTAATGACAATACTTTTACCTGTATTTGGCCTTTAATTGACTTCTAGCATCCCCGTTGTTGAGGCGAGCAAATTGTTGCAGCTTTTGGAGGGAACTTCTTTGCCTGATTGGAAGAAGTCTGCAATTACCACCGTGAGTTACAGTTCAAGTGATCGAATGTCTGCCGAAACTTAGTGTTTCAACGCGCCAAAATGAGTAGTGCTGCTTCCTCTAATTTTTATGATTGTGGATCGTTCTTCGATTTTTTCCGCTTGCTCTGATGTAACACCGAAAGCATTTCGACTCTGAATCCCCTTGATCACGTTGTAGCAAGGATCTTATTTATTGTCACTTAATGCATTGTCAAGCCAAAGGACCGGGAACGCTCTGGATTTACGGAACTAAAAGTCGAAGGCGTAGATTTATGGAAACTTGCATAATTCTACCTGATGCTCCCGAGTTTTGGAGAAAGGGTTCGAATCTCACACCTCGATCTCATTCTTACTGCTGAAGGAAAAGGATCAGCTCGAAGGATTTGCTGGAGGCGATTTCGGCTGCTCTGTGGACATGCATTGGGCTGTATGGAGGAAAACCAGTCCTCGTCCATGTAGTTCATGCTTAACACCAAGTTGTCCACTTAGCGTAGTAATAAGGCCTTTCAATTTTAGCATCATCGTCTCTCTTAGCTGCTAATCATTTTATGCACTTGACAAATGTCTCTTGTGCAGAAACTGATGGCACAATACGAAGGAGGCCCTGTTGACCTGAAGGAGTTCATGGACATATTTCGGCTTCTGGATTTGTCCTCATCGTACAGAATAGTACGTTTTATCCGTTGTTATTAATTCTGAATTGTGTTGCTAAGTTTTGGTTATCTTGGTGACCATCGTCATGCGTTTGTTGCAGCCCACTCTTGTTCGGCAATTCAACAACCCCCTGGCCTTGAGGATACAGTCTTTCTGCCTCTCAGACTTATGCAGAAGGATTGAGCTCTTACTGTCTCTTGGCAATGTTGTCTGCATTATTGTGAGTTTTGATTTATTTATTATTTTGAATGCAATCCAACTTCTATGTGCTGCAGTTTAATTCGTCAGTTCCAGTGCGGAAAGAGGAATGCGTCGAATTTTTCATTGCTATTCCCGTTCAAGTAAACTCTTTAATCGTCGACATCGACTGACTGAATAGCACCAGACTACTGTCAGTTTACGACTCCAGAAAAGTCTTGTTTACTAATAATCCCGAAATGTAGTCCACCCTCCAAATCGTTCGCAAGTCATTCCTAATTCGTCTAGCTTAGCTCACAAGCGTTAGGAAATTTTAACTTTAACTCACCTAAATTAAGGAATGATGTTTTATCTCCACTTGTTGTCCATTTTCAAGGCGTAACGCTTCCTGTTCAATGTCAATCCTCCGGGGAAGACATCCCTACATCTCAACTTCTTGCCTTATCCTTAGTTTCTAGATTTGTGATTACCTGCAAAGAGGCGGCTTTTTCACCTAATAAAAATGGGGTTCTGTTGACTAACCTCAATAGGCGAAAATTTGCCGCTGAAACCGTTTCAAAGATTTCGACAGATTATGGCTTACGAGGCGGTACTTCCCAAAACGTTTTTATTACCTCTTTTAACTGAAAACTTGTTCTTGTTTTTTCCCTCCAGTTACAGCTTGTGGCTTTTGAGAACGCAGACGAACCCAATTTTACCTTTTTGGTATGTCTTCTTATCGTACCTTGGTTATGTCGGTTACTTATAAGGTTGGTAGGAAATTTGATCGCCTACACACTTTAACGAATTTGAAACCGTCTTCACTTTACAGCTAACTTAAGGATTTGTGCATCCACAGTAGGACTAAACTTATCCTCAATTCTTCACTTGTTTCTATCTCTACAGAGATTCATAATTACATTGTCAGCCTTCTAAGTGTCGAGTCTCACCTTCCAAATGCTATGGTTGAACGTGAATTGCGGCTTTGGGCTTCTTGAAGGTGTTCTCCGCCGTAAAATTCTGCAGCATAAGAGAATTGTTTGGCTGCTTTAAAGCAGTTTCACGTTTTGTGTTCGAGTTTCACTTCTTGGATGACCTCAAGAACTGTTTGGTTGCTCAACTTATTTACTCCTCATTAGTGTCGGTTCGGTTTGTTTTCTGACCAATGGTCTGGTTCTCTACACTGCGTTTATGATTTGGAGACAACCGAAACACCGCACATGCTTTTACTCTACTCATCCACTGCCTCGCCAACTTCCTTGTCGCCACCCTTAGATGATCAACACGTGCTTCGCAGCACTCTATATAGTTGAAAACGGCTTCCGCCTTTGGGTGCACGGCTGGCGTAACTCACTCCTCATGCCTCTGACTCTGTTTGATGTATGCGTCTCCGTCGCTAATCTGGTACGTAGTCATTGCCTATCTGGTCATTTCTTCGCCTCCTCCTTGAAATGCTTCTCTTAACTTCATTATGTTAGGCACTGCGACTCTACGAAATTGGACTTATCGCTTATGGAACAGGGTGAGTCCTTATTTGTTAATACCAAGTTGCATCAGTCCCCTAACTGACTCTGTGACTTTAACGGCCGCTCATTGTAAAATCGTCCACGCTCCCGAAAGGAATAGTTAGTGCTGTTAAAAGGGAGAGCGAAGTGTGGTGCGAAGAGAGCACTGTAAGAAAGTTCGCAAACAACAATTTACCTTTTGCCCACCTTGCTATCATAAAGGGTGCCTTTGGCTGTGCATTTCTTCATACTTGGTATTTCCAGTATTTTGCAATTGGTGAGTTGATTCATTCAAAGAAGCAGGGACGAAAGTAAGCTTAAGAAGATGCAGTAGTAGCATTTCTCGAGAAGAAGCAGAACCTGAGGTCATCAGTAGTTTGGAGGTCGGAAGTAACGATTACATGGTAAAGTACTGTCAGGCGTTTGCGTCAGAACCCTTTCATTTTTATTTTCGCTGCTATTATTTTCGGTCGCGCATGTCATTCCCCATCAAGCCGGAACTTTCTTCCTCATAGCGTAATATGTAAAAATGGGGAATTCGGTTGATTACTGGATAAAGCTGAGGACTGGAGCAATTACCTCTCTCACTATATCTTATCTCTTTTTTATTATTTGTCAAGAATGTGTCATTTTCCGGCTCTGGTTTGTTACAGTGGCTAAAATGAGTAAGAGGGCTAAACTTTTGGTTTTGCACCAATTTTTACTTCTGAAACTATGCGTACGGACGAATGGCGTACTCATTTTTCGAACAGACGCGTTGGACCAGAGAAATGGTCACCCTATGACTTTGGACAGTTGGCCAACCTTCTTGTGATTCTGCGCACCTTGCGCTTTATGCAGATCTCCAACCTGATGACCAGCGTGCTTTTCCAGATGCCACATCACCTGGCCCCGGTGCTGGGTGTTCTCATCTCCTTCTACTATGTCTACGCCCTCCTCGGATTCACCCTTTTTCACGGAACTGTTGAGCGTCCTGCCAATGGATCCGCTGCGTAGGTTTTTGTCCTGCTTAAAAGTGCTCTTTTTTTCAACGATCCTTGGTATACTAGCGAACCACCATATTTCTGAATAAGTTCACGTTCAGTTGAAATCACCCATCAGCATTCCTCTCCACTTACCTTTACCAAACCGACAGTTATCTCCAGCTTGCTTTTTTTATTGAGCATGTGCATTATTAACTTCACTGTGATAGCGCTCACAACCTTTTATGATGCCTTATGCATAGGTCGAACGAGACTTATGCATGTGGAACCTATCAGCAGCTCAACTACTGGTCCATCAACTTTGACGACTTTGCTGTGAGTTGTCTTCTGGATTGCCTAGGTCATTGCCTGTTGGCGCGTACTCCTCCACTTCGTTTGTCCTTTCAGGCCAGCATATTCACGCTCTGGAGTTTAATGGTCCTGAACAACTGGCATGTCATTGTCCAAGCTTTTACTGATAAAATTGGCAGGTTAGTCCACTCTGATCACGCAGTTCATCCTCCATGTAATACCTTTGGAATCACTCCAAATAGTGTTACTACTACCTAGTCAATATCCTCCTTACTAACACAGCACAACGTACATTTAACTTTGTTTATAAATCAAGCGTACCTCCTTTTCGACAGTACTTCAAATCGAAATTATTTTTTAGCACTTTTGAGGCAGCTTTTTCTTCCAAGCCTACTTGGTCATGCTGCTTAAAATTTCACTCACTTTTTGCTTTTCAGATGGGTTCACGTCTACATGCTGAGCTGGTGGCTCATTGCATCTGTTATTCTCCTCACCCTCATTACCGCCATGATAATTGAGGTTCGTTGAACTTGCAAGTTGCGTATCGTGTTCTTACGTGTCTTTCGAAAAATGCTTTAATAACTTTGCTCAGGAGGACGAAGGTGGTACGAAAGCCTTTTACTCGGGGAAACAAGTCTCACAATTGACACTTCAATGTGCATCCAAACGTAGTGACAGTATGCGGTAAATAGTTTTCGACAAACTGATTACTCGTTGTTCATTTACCACTTTTCAACTTTTAAACGGTGTGCACAATTTTATTCGACGGGGTCTACCTTAGGATCAGATCAAGTCGATTTTCAATCCAACCAGGTCGTTTTCTAGACAAGTCTATGGTGGGTATACCCTTGAACAATGCCAAAACAAGTTAGTTAGTGTGATGTGGACAAAAGTGTTCCCGCCTTATTACTTATGGAGAGTACCATTTTATTGCTAAAGGGCGGAATGTCATGAGTGGTTTAGCCCATGCGATCTTACCAGTTCCCTTGGAAATGCGAGAGAATTCGAACTGAGTTGTGAAACGACTCCCGAAGGTGACTATCTGTTCGTGTTGTGTAGGGAATAATTGTAGCATGTGCTCATGCATTTGGTGCAATTCTTGAGACCTATTTCCTCCACCTCCGCCCAACTTTCACCGGAAGGCAATCCAACTTGATTGACGCAAACACATCATAACCTTAATCGTCTTTACCATTTCATTCCTTTTATCAGGGCATGTACGGTGCATTGTGTATTTTTTTGCCCATTTTATTTCATGATAGTGTTGTCCCTCTCCACATGGTTCTTTAGCTACTTATCCCTCCTACAATGCATTTTGCAGAGTTTCCTCTTCGCGCGACAGCTGCACACCCATCAAGCAGACTTGTTGCAATGCCCCGAGCGTCGCCGAATCTACGCCTGTCGCTCCACTACTGCGGGCAGGTCTCAGTGCCACGCCGTCGGCGACGATCGCAGGCGTTTGATCGATGACAGTGGAGCGGAGGAGCTATCACCTGCATTTGAACTCTCCGTAAGCCATGACGGCTCCTCTCGTAGGCGAACCTCGGCAACGGCAGCAACAGCGGGATCGGAAGGTGCCTCAACGACCTCGCCTTCCGCTACCGTGGTACTCAATTTTACGCAAATGTTTGGTGGTGGTTTTGAAGAACCCACCAACGAGGAGTTGGTGCGCCATCTCCAATGTCATGCAGAACTTAGTGGTTTGGTCTCTTCCTGATTTCTTGGACCCGACTTTCTATCCTCCGCATCATCTAGTTTGAATTTTAGTCACCAAATTTCTACGTGATTTTCTTCCTATTTTACTACTATCAATAAATGAATCCACTCCTGTTGCTACTGCTCCTTCTTTTGGCCTGTCTTTGGCGCATTCATCGAGCAAGTGTCCAGAACATTGACTTGTGTGGACGGTTTCAGGGTGTCTCTTAGCTGATTTGTTTACTTTCTTTTGATTTTCAACAGAAAAGTTACCAGTTTTATGAGGTCTTGGTGTAGATGAGTCGTTACTCAGTTTGACGTTCACTGCACTATTGGATGAAGCAACACGAATGCCGTGCTCCAGATTCAACATGACGATCTAGGATTAGGTGCAGCAGGATTAACAAATTTGCGAGCTATAAACGGCATGTGGTGGTGCAAAATAAAGCCATTTTGAAAGGCGTAGAACATTTAACACTGTATGGTTTTTTGTAGCACACGGATTATGTTGCGGCTCGCTCGAGGCGTCTTGCAGACTGGAATGCGGTTTAAATCAACATCGTTGAAGTACAGCAAGGTGAAGGTGTCCCGCAGAGGCGTTGACCTTCAAGTGGGTCTCGTGGAGCTTGATTCGCCTGACACCTTTAACACCCTTTGCCCTGTGTTGGTGGAGGAGTTAGCTTCTGTGGTGGAACAAATGGATGCTGACTCTTCGGTTCGGTGTCTTGTCATTACCGGCTCCGAAAGGGTTTTCTCGGGTAATGCCATCTCAGTTTAGCTAGTGCAATGATTTTCCGTGTCATCTTTTTTTCTTTTTTGGTACTATTGCGAAAATAGATTAGTTCTCAAAGTTGAACTAAAAGGAGTCTATCCTTTTATAGGGGAACCTGCCGATTTTCCCATCTCCGTGCGCTCCTTCACTCAACCCACTTTCTGACCAACTTTCTCCATTGCTCATTTTCTAGAACTTAACTGTGCCCATAATCCCACCTTTATCCATTACTATTGCAGTTTTTAAAGCAAAGAGTGATCCTCAGGATAGACTAATTTTTTAATGTCCCTAAAACTGAATGTAAGGATGTCTTGCCAAACAGTCGGGGCTGACGTGACACACCTGGACGATCTACGGAGGCCAGAGGTTATGCGTAGGTGGGGGGCACTGGGAGCGGTGGAGAAACCCACTATTGCAGCAGTGAATGGCGTAGCACTGGGCGGCGGCTGCGAACTTGCGATGATGTGCGATGTAATATATGCGGGCGAACGGGCCCGCTTTGGACACCCCGAGGTTAAGCTGGCTCTATTACCCGGCGCCGGGGGTACACAACGTCTCACTCGCGCTATCGGCAAGTCGCGCGCCATGGAAATGATTCTCTCGGGTGAGGAGCAGTGACGGTCTCCCCTCTCTTCCTCCCCGTCTATCTCCCTTCACCTTACGTCTATAGGAAAAGCTATCCCTGCGAAAGAGGCGGCAGCTTTCGGATTAGTGAGTTGTGTATACCCAGTAGCCGAGGTGGTGGACAGGGCAATCGGCCTGGCTGAGCGTATCTCCGCTCACTCTCTGGTCGCTTTGAAGGCTGTAAAGAGGGCCGTCGGCACTGGTGAGTACTCAATTCCACAATTCCTGAAACGAGTGCTGAAGAGTTAGTTTTCCAATCATTCAATTTGTTAGATACTGTTTTGCTTGACTCCCACCTTTCCATCACTATTTACTTGTTTTACATTCTTAACAATTTCTTCTCACCAGCTTATCGACTCGCCCTTGACGAAGGCTTGAATATAGAGCGGGAACTTTTCCTCAAAACACTGTCCTCCGTAAGTTTATTTCCCTTGGTGTTTGATGGCAGAAGTTACATCTGCACTTGCAGCTACGTCAAAGGGTTAATGCTTAAATTCATAGTTAATGCTGTCGAAAATTTTAGCCTCATTCTTGTGTTAAACGTAATAAGAGCACGTAGATTCTAGTGTACGCTTTGGGGGACACAATCTTACAAGTTTGTCGCATCTAAAGTCATCGCAGCCTCTTACTTCTATGTCAGTAACAAATGCTCACACTAATGAACACCGCTGTTTAATACTTCTTTCGTCCTTTTAGAACGATTCCAAAGAGGGAGTGTTGGCACACATTGAGAAGCGAAAACCAAAATTTACAGACAGTTAATGCACATTGTTTAACTCTAAATAGAGCATTTGATTACAGTTTTTATTTCGATGACACTGTTCAGTCAAGAGCTAACGAAGGAGAACGGAAAAGGCAGTTTTCTTCCATCGACGATAAGATGGCGCATCGAATTTTGCTTAGTCTCAGAACACACAAATGCATTATAGGAAAAAAAACCAAACAACTCCCTCAAAGGGTGTGAGATCACAAACGCATCTTGGAGATCGCACCGCAATCTGGCATCACCGCATATACCGAAGCCAATGAACGGAGCTGGAGAAGGTGTTTGTTGCCGATTAGGACTTTTGGAATGTGTTCACGAGCCATTTGAGGCATGCCATTAACCAACAGTTTGTATCCGTCGCCTAACCATGGGCGTAATTCACCTGTAGTTAAGCGTAATTTGAATAATTTGGAAACAAAGGTAAGGGGCGTGCTGCTCTGTTTATGTGATCACTTGATGTCCAGCAGTGGACTTAGGCTTCCGTTTTGCTCGTGGACTGGCCTTCGAGCCATACCAGAGGGCAATAACTTCTTAGTCTTTCAGAATGCATGTATTCACCCCAACTTAATGCCTTCTTTTCCCTAGTGAGAAGTCTTGGGTCGCTATAAGTAGGTGATCGGTCTTTCCTACACTGGTTTCCTCATTAGCCTCAGTGTGTGAGGGTGCGACATGGAGAGGTCTCATTGATCATAGCTCTGTCGTTTGCCTCATTACGAATTTCCTTTTATTATTAAAATAAGTTTTTTGGCCAAATTAAGGCATCTGTACTGTTGGGTTATGCATACTGGAATTTTTCTTTGCCGATAAGTGAATCCTTGCCAAAATGCACCAACTTGCAATATTTACAAAAGATTTGCTGCATAACCATAAATAAGTCAAAAAATTGTTCTTAGCGAAAAATTAATTATAATGCGTTGCTAATAAAAGATCTATTAAATTTAGGCTATTGATTTTACTTCATTAAGGTCAGAGGCGCTCGTTATGACTGCGGATTGAGGGTCGTTTTCTTCGCGTTAGTAACGAATTGCTTTGTTGATGGATCCAGCTACTGTTTTCCCCGATGAAGTAATGCTGAGAATACTAAGCTATTTGCCTCACTCCCCGACATTTGCTAACCTTGCATGTTTGTCAAAGCGATGGCGTGCTTTGGTTTCGAGTACATTTGGAGCAATTTAAAACTGTTTAAATAGGTGCTCTTCAGTCTAGGACAAGGGTTTCCCTCATTGGTGTTGGGAGACACTCAATTCGATGGCACTCGCTCCCTATATATAGTGACATAAATGAAAGGTCGGGAGTGTCAGTTGCGATTCACGGTCACACGTTGTATGTTTTTGGTGGCCGTACTGATAATGAAACAGCGATGAACGATCTCTCTACGTTCGATCTTCTTACTGTAGAATGGAAACGACTCACAACAAATGGTGCGCCATCTCTCTGGTTATTCATTTCTATGCATTTGGTCAACGCAATCATTTTTTATTGAGCGTTTTGCCCTATAGTTCACCTCCATTTAAATGAAATTCTGGTATTGATCATATCTTCTGTGTGTTCTCTTCTTATAATGGTATGGAATTGTCTATTATTCTTCGTTAAGGTTTGGTTTTGTGATAATTAGGCTCACGACCCTTGCCCCGTTCAAATGCCATTATGGGATTCATTGAGGATCAACTCTTTCTTTACGGTGGGTTTAAATGTCCATTGCAAGAATTTGGCGGTGTACGTCTCCCCCCTTCTAGTCATCTCGTAAGGGTTCTTGATTTTGTGTTTTTTTATTCTCGTTTGTCCTTTGTCAGCATTTAAGCTCGGAACCCCTTGAATTTTCGTCTTGCGATATTTATAGCCTAGTAGATTGGGAAACATCAATGTAGGTAAAATTGTTTTGCAGAGCTGCTTGCTTCTTGAGTACTAAATGAGTTCGCAGTCCTTAAATATCGGTTGATTCCCTTTTTTTCATTTCAGCTTAATCCATGAGCGAAATGCATGTCTGTTAATTCATAACAAACCCTTGATATTCTTGTTTTACGCTCTTTGAATGGAAGCAAAATTTCAGAGGGCATTAATTCCCAGTTCCTTGATTTAATTAACTTTTTGTTGTGCGATTGTCCCAAAAATTGTTAATATTTTGTATGATCATCGGTCAATTCGATGACGTTAACTCAGTAGGTGGTTTTAGGCTCTCTTTTTAGCTCACTTGGTCTCCTTCTTGGATAAGGCGTATAAATGTTTAGCAAAAGTTGAATATCTATTTCCGTCGATTTCACTACTATTATCAAAGAACTCCTTTATCCAAATTTGACTTCCTGATCAGATTTTTGCTACACCATCTTTCAGCTGCGGACGTTGGTCATAAATGACCTGTACAGCTTCTGCCGGGGAACGAAGATGTGGAGACAGATCTTAAAGGACACGGAAGGTCCTCGGCTCCGTGGGCACTACAACGGCGCTTTCCTGCCACCGGTAGCTTCCGATCCAGAGACTCATCCAGGCTTATTGGTCCTCTTTGAGGCCTCTGATACGCAGTACCTCGCTTTCGGACTAGTCCCTGATACGGGCTTTTGGTTCATTCTCCCTCATTGTCCTCAAAATACTCTCCCGGCCTCAAACGAGAACCCACTTTTGAGGCCTCCCATGTGTGCCCTTTCGGAGAAGGACGTGCTCATCCTCACTCACCATCCTGCCGCCACCTTTGTGTGGGTTCTCAGTCGCAGAGCTCGTACCCCTGACTCAGGTGGGTGTGCTAAAAGTGTGAAAGTCTAGAGGTTTCACTATTGTCAACACCCAGCATAAATAGTATGGTCGTAGGACCAAAAAAGGCATGGCCACTTGTACAAATAGTCATCACATTGAAGGCTTCTGGATTTTTAATTTTAAATAATTCGCTTCTCAGATTATTGTCGCTTTTTGTGTTGCACTTTAGCAAAAGAATATCAAATCAGTTTTGCTCAATACCTGCAAGTTTTAGTGTGGTTAAAATTGGCCATAAAAAAATCATTTTATGCGGTGTTTATGCTGCCATTCTGTTTTTTCCTCTTGGTAAAGCAAAATTAAGTTGTTTTTCCAAATAAGAAGAGTTCATTGCAGTCTTCAATTCTATAGCAGCAAAAAACATACTGTCTCGCGCTGTTTCTAATCGCTCGCAGTCTAGTCTTTCAATCAAATGAAGTTCAACCACCTTTAGAGGTGACTTATACACAGTACGAAGATTGGGTGGATAATTCCGGGTAAACGTCATAGCTGAGCTTTATGCAAACCTACAGCACTACTGATAAAGCTTTATTTCGACCACTTGATCTGATCTCAGCAAGCTATTCGGTTGGCTGGACGTGGACCGAGGTTCAGCTGCGTACTCGTGTGAATAAGATAAACTTTCTCGAGCCCTTGGAAGCCCTAGGAGGCGCTCAGTTGGTATGTCTGCCAAAGTTGCCCCACCAGGAATGGCCGACGGTGGTATTGTTGCGCAGAATCCGCTTCAGCACTGTTCGCGCTCATCTAAACCGAAGGCTGAGGGAGGGCCCAAGACGCCTGCCTGACGTTGGCTCCATGTCTTCTTCGTCCTCCTCTCCTCCCTCCGTAACTGCTCATCCGGAGACACAGCCCAATCCTCTGGTCCAGGTATTTGACGAACTTCACGGTGAGCTTCTTATCATGAACCATACTCTTTTATTAACTTGTTCTAGGAAGTTGTGAAAAATCGAAATGCAGTGCTAGCTCGATAATCTAGAGAATTGTCCTTGCGCAAGCTGAAAGTTAATTTGATGCGGGGTTTAAACTTCAGGAATTAAGCCTCATTTAACATTATTTAAACTGCGTCTCTGGTCATAAATAAGGCTTTTGAGGTAGGGTGCAATCGACTCATTTGTAGTAAAACTTGAGCTGTCTTTATTAAGGAAACTTGAAGGCAATAAATCGAACATCACCAAGGCTAACGGTTCTATCCTTCACTCACGGAGTCTAAAGTGTATTTTCCTGATTTTCAACATGTTCATCTGAGACTATCTGAAAAGATAACCTTGCAATGTGTTTAAAGGCATATGAGCAACTAAAACATTGCAGCAGGACTTATCGTTGTTTGGGTTTTGTAGACCCAACTCAACCTGCAGGTGCTCCAGGTCAGCCGCTTCGTGGAGCCATAATACGACGTGTTGCTTCTTCATCCTCTTCATCTTCCCTCACCTCTCTGCTAAGGCTTCACTCCACGGCAGCGTCTAGAAAGCGTCGCTCTTCTCAAGTGTCTGGTAATCGCTTTGCGTCAAGCATGACCAGCCCTAGTAGTGATGAACCGGAGAGCGATTCGGACACCTCAGATCCTAATATTTTGGCCTTGTGCACTTTGACTTTATCTGGCAGGCCTAGTCGTTCCAGACCCTGTCTGATGCTGTGTGAAATAGATGGTCCATCGGATCAGGATTACCACCTGGACAGTCTTCCGCTTTCTCGTTCTTTCGCTGCTTTCACCTACGGTCTTGGATCGCTTCTTGTCTTCGGTGTACCGCAGGCACGACTGGTGAACGCAGAGTATATGAACGGCACCAGAGACAAAAGGCCTTTCGTGTGGGCGATTAGTGGTAGTCGAGTGGTGTGTGGATTTGAGGCTCCTGCTGAGACCTGAGTTGATGAGACCCCCCATTCTGTTGTTCCCTTCTTAAACCTTATATATATATACGTGTATATTTGGGCTTATGAATTTTCCGACATCCGTGCTTTCAAATAGAGCAATACTCAATTATCATCAGTCTCTCTCAACCTCTTTGAGAGAATCTTTTATCTTTTTGAACTTGCGCATTTGACTTATTTCGAATTTTGCTGAGAGCTTCATGCAAACTCGGAACGCAAAGTGGTCTCAGCACAGTGGTATGATTACGCTTCTCATCTATATCACTACGAAGTTTTTTATGAACGGAGTCCTTAGAACCAATGCAATCACAACATTTCCGATGAAAATAGGGTCTTTAGTATTTTTTTGCCTACCAGACAGTATTTTGGGACCATGGTTAGTCAAGACCATTACTTCTTGAAGTTAACTGTTTTTTAGGTGCTGTAAGGACCTCATAATCTCGGTAATGTGAACAAGGTAGGTGCATCATAACGATGAAGACGTATGTACGTCTATACTAAACATTAAGTACCTAAATTCGTTAAAAAGTTTTATATAAGAAGAAGAGCAACGATTGGGGCTGTCCGAAGTGACCATTAGGAGGGAGAAGCTGGATGCATTAGTAGGGCGTGCTTCGCGTCTTATTCGGACACTATGAGCTGGGGGATACTGAGCGCATCAAACATTGTGAGTGCTTAGTGAGGTGGTAATTTGGTGCCGCCCACCTAAACTTCCTCGAAGACTGACGAGAAGTACAGTCAATGTGTCGTAATGTCACTTCACGTGCAGTGTTTGACAGGTAGCACAACACCCGTTCCACCGATTCCTTCACTATGTTTACTAGACAATTTTGCTTCAGAAGCCGCCCCAGCCCTCCCCACTCTTGACGTGCACAAGCTTAGAATGTTTTCGTAGAAGTTAGATTGTACAAATGACCTACACATGGAATGTTTATCCCAGTTGGAAGGTTTAAACAAGGCAATAACTAAGTAAATAATTTCATAAATTTGAGGAGATGGGTTAACAGTGTTTACAAATGTATTTAAGGGTATTTGATACCACATATCTGAGTGCAAAGTTTCAAACGTTTCTGGCGTCATCCTGGAAGCAACTCTAGGTTTAGTGAGGGTAATCATTTCAACCGCCATATTTTGGCGCCTTTAAACTCGCACCTACTACTAAAGATCAAAACGGTAAATCGACCAGTCATCAATCCCTGATCCCCTTCTTCAGCAGAGCTCTAGTGAGGTTGAGTGCTTACCGCCTGGCATGCAATCAAAATTCGGACCTAAATATAAAAAATGCGTTTGCTTTACGAGTAAGCTGCAGCATTTATTCTCAGACATGATATCTTAGTCATTTTTCTTAATCCATGAAGGCGCATGATCATCTACGTATGATTCGAATTCAGAAATTAGTATATATATGTAGGCTTGAGGACGTTTACAAAAGTTTTTAAGCTTCCGTAATAAACTGCCAAATAAGAACGCCAAAATGCTCATTGGCTCCGGACGAGGAAGAGTTTCACGTATTCGATCTGCCCTCAATCAATGGATTTGGAAGGTAAACTCGGTGGTCACTGTACGAGGAGTTACTCATCAGCCAAAACCAAAACGATCATAATGGTTTGGTCATGTGACCATCTGACGGTTGGCAGTCACTTTAGGATTTGTCTAACTCTTGTATTCGTGAGCTGGCCTTCGGGCCGTACTCAGACCCATTTGCCCTGTTCGCTTCGGAACACATGTATCCAGCCTCACTTACTGTCCTCTTCCACCCTATGGGAAGCCTCAGGACGCTAGAAGAATTGACAACAAAAGCGGTCGCTTTGGTGTGGATTGATTCTGACGCAGAAAATAATAGATATAACTATTTTTGAATAAGCAGCCATTTCTAAAGGAATTAAAAATCGAAGGAGAGCATAAGTACAGTCTCCTGAGATCTTAAGTATGGCGATTAAAAGCAATTAGCTTAGCTAAATACCTAGTAAAAGCAAAATGAACACCAAGGTGCCCACCGTTTAAACAGGTTGTTGGGTGGGCAATGCGTCCCACTAAATGCGGATGAAAAAGCTAATGTATGTGTCTTTTTTATATTATGGGGTCTTCACTGCGACAAGTCTGCCAGTACTGAAAGGGTTCGAAGAAACTTTGACCAATGCAGTCTGAGTATTGAATAATTTTGAAAACTACTTATTCCTAACCGAAATGCCCGGTCCTGAAACACACTTGACGATCCTTGCACAACGCATAATGACGCATTAACTGTTTTGATAAAACCAGTTATCTGGGGCACAGATTTGGTAGTGGAAGGGCACCTTCAGAAGTTTTAAACAGCCAATATATGAGATTTTCAAATTGCAAATGCGATATTTCGTTGATGTACACTTTACTTAAACTTTATTAGTAAAATGTTATAAAATACAAATTAATGCCTCGGTATTATTCCTATGACTTGAACTTGAACTAAAGTATCTCGCCCAAAATTCTCTTGGACACTGATGGTCTAAAGGCGTGTCTTCACTGAACATTGCTTAACACGCAAAATGGACTTCGCAGAGCGACTGGAACAAACGCAATTGGTTAGGAATTTGCGCCTCTGTAGGGCTCACTAATAATTTGACCACTACGTAGGTAAGGCAGGGCATCACGATTGAGAAGGATGCGCTTCTTTTCGTATCTTGATCGAGGGTAGATACAGAGCAGACGGTCGAGAAAGTTGCGTACCCAGTAGTTTATAGGGTGGCGCTCTCTTCGCCGCCATTTTCGGAGGCTGCATTGTAGGTCACTAGGCAAGCACCGATAGCAAGTGTCGCAGATAGGTCTTAAATCAACCGTGAAAAAGCTTGAGCTAAAAGGACAAATTTGATTTTAAAGCACTAAGCATGGGTTGATCCACTATGTTAAGTGAGCTGCTTACCCAGGCTGCAGTAGTTTGTCGCAAAACTCACAAGTGAAGTGCTTAAGGCAGTATAGCTTGTTAGTGAATTCAACCAGACACTCGGGGAGAAGGTTGTGGCACTTGTGGCATACCTCCTGGGTGAGACCACGAAAGTGATGAAAACACAGGGGCTCCCCATCGCGCTCGTAAAAGTGACCTCCGCCGCTCAGAATCTCCTCACACTTGCTGCACTTGAGGTGGTGCGGATGCCAGACTTTACCCAAAGCAAGCACTACGCGATCCTCGATTGTGTGACTGAATAAAAAGCTGATCCATTAAATAACCTGGAGCCCTTTTATTTTCATTGGTATGATTGTTTAAACATTAGTCTGAGGTTAACATCTAGGACAACATTTGATAGTTTTAAAACTTATCTAGGGACAAATTTTTTCGTACTCCAAATAAAAGCGTATAATATGGAAACAGGTCTAATTTTGAAAATATTCAAACGACTCACCTTTAATTTAAAAATTGTCGTTCGATTGCTTAACTCTCATAAACGTAAAAAGTAAAAATTGATCGTTGAAAAGCGGCTCTCTTATAGGCTGTGGCCACGAATATCTAGCAATAAGTGCCACCATCTTTCCCTATCTCACGCCCAGTCGAACCAAACAAACCAATAAATGCGTCATCGTTAAGACCTACTTATGAAATTGTGCCTTTCTTGTATCCTGTAGATAGCTAATCGCTATTCAGCAATATTCAAATCTCCGCACCCACCTCTGCATCACCTAGTATTTGACCTATGTGCATGTGACCATGCATATTCAGTTAAAAGCATATCGATACATCTTGGCTTTCCTCTGCTGCCGAAGTTAAGAGTTGGAACGTACTGTAGCTTACCGGGTAGAAGAGGTCAGTAAGTGCAGCTGGCTACATGTATTCCAAGGAGAATAAAGCAAGCAGGCCTGAGCATGGCCCGAAGGCCAGCCCACAGGTACAAGAACCAGTCAAATCTTAAAGTGACCACCAAACGTCAGGCGGAACTCTAAATAAAACTCGTAATGATTAAAAAATTCTACGCTTTGCCGAAATTCTATCTCTAGTTTGATACTTGATTCCATCCACACTATGCCTCAAGTATGTAGCGAAAATGGAAGTAATCTCTCATTGCAACAATCAATGCGTACCGTGACTTATCTCCCAAATTGTTGTAAAATACTTTAATTTCATTATTATGCCATCCGAGCAGAGTTAAAAGGTACTGCCATTAAGATTTTGCAGATAAAGTATTCGGATGCAGACTTACTGACATGCGCAACAAACGGCGATCTCAGGAGTGGTTAGGAAGCACTGGGAACAGAGGGCTTTACCTCTGTAGATTTGGCACTGACTGTCAAGTTCCTCATCACATTCAAAGCACCTTAACGTTGAATTAAAGAAAACTGTTACTAATCTGCTACCTGCCATTTACATTCATATCGTTTGCATAAAAAGCAGTCTTTCGTGTAAAATAAAAGTTTGTGTTTTAATTCACGTCTGCAGAAATTAGCAGATTTATTTGTTTTTCTTTTCCAACGGCAAATTATAAGTGCGGAATGGTAGCCGCAACTCTTTGAAAGTCTGTGCACAGGTCGAAAGGCTAGTTGATGCTTTAAATGGGGACTGTTCATTGTGATACACTGAAGCAGGTACACCTTTAGGCGTTGTAGATTCGCAATAAAAGTGCAGCCTATTTAAGTCTCGCGAGATTGGCAACATTCTTGTAGTTTATTCATATAATCAAGTAACTGGAAACGATGACAGATCATTAAAATGATGGCATGAAAGCAAATCTTGGTTCTACAGGTGAAACTACAAAGTTTTGCCAATTTGGATGGTCATGTTCGTCATTTTTGGGTTCCAATTTTTCATCCACGCGATTAAGTAGTTGATAGTGCAGTTGGAAATTCACGCATGCTCAACTCGATCTAGAATCGCGTGATGTGGACTTGCAGAATGCAGGCGAAATGTACTTCGGATTAAGTTTGATGTCTCACAACAGTGCTTATAACTACCCTACTTCGCACATCTTGGCATTGTTCATTAAGGGATGAGAAATGGGAGACAACCAGATGTACAACCGACGTCACTAGAAGTACTAATGCGTAAAAAGTGGCGTCAGCAGGAACGAAACAGTTGTTGCAAAATAGACATGCGTTCAGCGCCTCAGCACCCGACTTCTTCCTGTCTATTTAGCAAGGCGTTCTGTGGTGTAGAATATGGACAGAAGAAAATGTGGACTTGTAGATGCACAAATGGCAGCAAATTATCACAAAGTGGATTCCAAAATGTACATGATTGACCCCAAGATAGTTAAATGCCATGCACGCAGTGTGGATGACAGAAGAATTGGGACTAAAATGGCAGGCTAACATTGCCGCGAATGAGAAGGAAATTTCTTTCAAGGGGAATAGACGATATTAAAATAGAGCTACTGTTAGCTGCATAACACACGAGGAACCTTGCATTTCACTTGTGGAGCCATCACAGGTACGCTGAACCAATGAAAGAATGCAGCCAATTTTGCTAAAAAAGGGTGAAAATTAAGGATCAAGAATTTTCCTTAACAAGTTAACCAACAATGGAGAAGATGAAGCCAACACAAGTGCTTGCAGTTCAAGGAGGGGATAAAGTGGAAAATTTATGTTTATCAAGGCCATTTAAGATAGATTATGTGCAAAACTTCAAACACTGGACAAGTGCCGCAACCGGAATGGTGAGAAGGCAGGGCTGTATGCACGCCCAACTTCATCTTATTTTTTCACCCTTTGTGTTGAGCTAAGAGGATTTTATTCAACATGCTACTTCGCGAATAAAATCGGACGGATTTAGGAAAATAGCTTCCTTTTGTATTCCCTTTGATTAGAGCCCCACAATTAACGGTTTCATAGGGACGACATTTTCTCACACCCTGAAGTCGCCCCGAGCACCAATTTTGTTACGTACGGAGAGTGCAGAAGTCCTCGCTCCTTAGCCTTGGTATTATTTTTTTTTTGCAATGTCTTTGAACCCTTGAATGATAGGATCCTGAAGGCGATCATCTGCATCATCCATTCATTGCAAATAAAATTAGTGAAACACACGTCTGAGGGTCGTGGTCTGGAGCGACTGCGTGCCATTGATGCAGTTGACGCAGTCTTTAACAGCAACAACGCCTGAATCGCATTGACAAAACAGGTTGGCACACATCAAAGAGTTATAAGGTATAAACACACTCCTGAATGTCGGAAGCCCAAACAGCGCAGAAACCCTCTGGACAAAATTTGTCGGTCAGTTAGTAAACAACTTGAGGTTAACCCCAGTCTGTCTCAGTCATCAACATGGACTTCTGTCTTTAATAAATTTGTAAACAGTTGATCGGACAATTTGCATTAACGATAACCTTTTAATGCTTCATTCCTTTAGCATCGAAAGTTCTCCCTTTTGCAATTCGTATTTCAATGTGGACGGGAGTGGAGGAGTGAAGTCGTGGTTGTGTCCTGACCTTTCGCCTAATTGCCACGGCTACTAAACACTCGTGCTGATGAGAAAGAAAACCTGTTTTAGGGATGCCAGAAAGATCCGCACATCCTCCTCCTTCTCCTCCTCCTTGAGAGGCATTTATGTGACAGAAAATGAATGAAAATAATTTTGTCTGAATCCTAATGGGAAAAATATAACCTCTGATGCGCATTCCACTAACTGCCTTCACCTCGATCAGAATGAAATTTACCTTTCTTGTGGTTCCTCACGGTATTCATCAAGAGGCGATCGAATGGCCCAGTGCTTGGTGGTGTCTATCCTCGTGAAAGCCTCCTCCTGGTTCGGCGTTTGAGTGCGTGGAGGCTCAGCAACTGAAGCACTGAGGAACATTAGCTGGTATTCGAGGTCTTGGAGAATCAAAGAAAATCGTCTCTTGGCTCGGGCTCTGCCTCTACTCTCGACCTCGTCGTCCTGTTGCATTTTGTACTTTAGACAAGATCCAGCGTGTACTTATAAACGCTCCCAGCGATAGAGAGCATGGGATAGGATAAGAGAATTGCCTCTGCTTTTCTTCACTCTGGATTGGATAGAAGTGAAGGCATGATTTCATATGCCATTGGACTTGGTTTAAAGTCTAATTCTCTTGAGCCCAATTGGAGAGCAAGAGGCAAGATTGATGTAATCAAGTCTTTAAGCAAAAACAAACCCATTTGCTGATGCCTCAACAAGTGTCAAATATCCTCCACTCCCCTTTTAACGGGTAAAAAAGTACAGACATCTAAAAATGGATTAAAAGCTACAACTGCCACCCCAAGGTGGAGGTTAACCCTCGCCCAATTCACAGCTTTCATGTTTCGACAGATTGCTGTGAGGGCACGACTGGTCGTTGATCCTCCACTCACTGCACATTCATCAAAAAGCGCATTTCACATGCGTGGAAAATCAACGCATCTCAAATGACTGGTTAAAAGGGAAGTCAAAATAATGAGCTTGAGAATGGGACGACCTGCCTGGGTGAACAATGTCCCCACTTCAGGCAGAACAAATCACGAAATTCGACAAAACTGATAGTCATTTGCCTGACATCAAGGTTTGCTTAATGGCATCAGGGAATGATGCTACAAGCACACTCGACTCCCGACTTCGGGACCCTCTCAGAACAGACACTGCGATGCGCTATTTCAGTCCTTTCGACAGTTTAACAGTAATGAGCTGTCAATTCCTATAAAGGCAACAGGTGAACTGGCTTCCCACTTCCTTCTCTATGCTGCCAACGCGATGGACAAGGCCTTGAGATGCATTTTCAAAGGCTAAACGCACTGCAGGTAGGAAGTGAGAACGGTAAGACTAATGGGGTCTTAGAATTGTGACATCCCAAGATTTGTATAAGGTCATGATGGCAGCCCTTTGGACTCAACAACAGATTGCTGTGCAAGAGTTTTGCTTCAGGGAGTGACAGGAATGTAAAGAGGTGGTAAGTTCATGACCTTGGCATTTCAATGGAATCCACTATATGCACATATTTCGTTGACATGAAGTAACATGTGTGACACTTCAGACATGCAGTACTTGGGGCAATGCATTTTGCATCAAATCTTCCTTAATGGACCATTTGCCTTTCCGTTGGGAGCCTTAGCCATGCGCCAAATGTCGTCAAAGCAGCAGCTCCTTCAACACCTCCACTGAAGAAGCATTTACCATCAGTGTTTGCCGACTTCTAAAGCATCAAATGAGCTGTCTACCTCCCATACTTGTGAAGATGCTGAAGTCTGTAAGCAGTCGCAGCATACAAGCATGTAGGAGGACTACTGCGACGAAAGCTTTACCCCTTCACCACAAAATGTCTGCCATGGGCGAATAGTGAGCTCGAATGAGGGTCTGCAGGCAGTGCATTTCATTCAAAGTGGATACACAATTTGAAAAGGAGCTCCCTGTTACTCGTATGGAATTTTAGTTAGGTAAGAAACTACTGACACGCGTTCTTAATTCCATTCGCTGTAGTGATTTTGCAAACCATTTTGTGCATAAGACAAGTCTCCACATGGTCACTTCACAGAGAGGCACTGGAAGTGTCTCAAGATTGCACTGTTGTTCATTTGTGCTTTAACCTCGGTCGCATTTTTAGCTCACAGAGGTCAAGCATTCAAAGTGGCTACAGTTTTCCTCCATTATGCAGTCATTTCTTGGTCATCGGACAGAGGGCTGCCACGCCTAGGACTTTTGAGGGGCAAAAATAACACCTCCCGACGACAACCAACTCATGGGGATAGTGCATCACAAGCACAACACCGACTATCAGGAAGGTTCGAAGTTTGGATCCCATGTACAGGCACTCCTATTGTGCAAAAGAGCAAGTTTACAAGTACTTGAAGCTCTCGAGGCAGCCTCAAAGCACCTCAAAGAAGTAAATTTCCCTTCAGGTCTCAGTTAATGGACAGCATGTGACATGCGAATGCCCTGAAACTACCAAATTATGACGCTGCTTACCGCATCTGCTGGGCAGTGAGAGTTAAGACGCGTCAACTGTGCTAGTAAATACTGGTCTGTGTGACCATCTCAGGAAATGCACATCTCACACAGCAATTCGACCTCTTGAATCATTTTCTTTGCCTCTCGGTCTCACAATCACCTCCTTTTTCCTCGAGAAGTCGGCGAGTGTATAAGCGTGAGAGAATAATTTCCTCTTGCAAGAAATGAGCGACTAGAGTAGAATGCATTTACCATTGTTAAAAGTGATTGTTTCAGGAGCCAACCTACATGCCACAATACTTCCAGAGCGCCTCTTTAATAAGATAGAAGTGTAGGCTTAAAAAGGTGGCATTTGTTAGTAAAATCTTCAGGCATATCAGTTGAATTGTTATTTGAATGTCAAATGTGATTCGCACGACATTATTTGAAGGTGGAAACAAAACCGGATGTAATTTTTCAGAGACACTGGTACCCACAATTAATAAAACCAACGGTGCACATTCAAGCCCATAAACACAAGCGTGCACACACACACGCTGAAGTCGCAAGGTGTGGTGGATAGCGAACCGCCTTGACCACACTGCAGCTAATGGCGGACGACAATGTGTGCAGTCCTCGGCGATTTCGTTGACAAATTACCTCCGTGCACAAAAGTAAAAGGGAGTTTCACCACCTGATGAAAGTTAAGGATGGAATTCCCATCAGCCTGGAATCATTTGCTTGATGCGATTCACACATAGCCGAGCCTACCACTGGAAGAGCATTGCGGTTTCCAAAAGACTAAGCAATGAAGAGAACGCTAACTTGGAGGCTGGACATCCTCACGGATGCACAACGTCAGAGTTCCCAAGCAACTCGAAACACAAACCGAGAGTCAAACAAGCAAGGCTTTACAATTTTTTAATTCCTTTGGCCAAATGTAAATGTAGACTCTTCGTAACAATCCATTTTTGCTTGCTATCTTATTATTTTGTTCCATTCTACCGATTATTCGGATAACTGAGCTCTCGGCGTGTGCACGGTCCCATCTGCAGAGCACAGAGATATGCCCTCGGAGGGAAGGAGATAGCGGTAGGAACAATACAGGACGGCAAATACACGTCCTCTGACTTCCTTTTGCAGAGGCCACAAATTGCGGTTACTGGAGAATTATTGTGAAGAGTGGCGTTATGCTTGTGTAAATGTCCCAAAAAATTAGGTGGATTACTTCTTTGGAATCAATGCCTCTCAAATTGTATCACATTTCGCCTTGTACGCTTCGGTTTTTTGCCAAGGTTTAACCATATGACATAGGAGCGAGTGCAGTGCCTATCGCGATGTCCACAGTTGACCACGGACTCGGTTTTTTCACCTAACGCAACCCCCCAATCCCTGTTTGAATGGCAAGAAAAATGCCATTCATCATGAAGACAACACAGCCTGGCACCTCTTCCTCGCTCGTGCGGGATGAAGGAGGAGTGCTTCGACAACCTAATTATTTTACTTCTCATACGTTATTTATTCAAGGGTAGTTTTCATTTTACACTCACCAAACCAACGTGACCTCTTGTGAACTGGGCAATGCGCCGACCTCATGGGACATTTCGCCTACCTGTGGTGACTTGAAATGAAATGCCAGGTTAAGGCCAAAGCCATGAGGGGCGGGAAATACATGGAATTGGCAAACCGAGCACTTCAAACAACAGGCAATTTTCCGTCAAGCACTGTTACTGTCACGTTTTTTCTTAAACTAGGAATAAGGAATGAAGACAGTGCCAATTTGAAGAGGCTGATTCAATGTAGGAAACAGGCTAGGCCTGTTGTTGTTCGTACAGACTGGTGAATCAATGACGGGTACCAGTAGTCAGTAGAATACGTGGCCGAGCCAAATTCGGACAAGTCATTCCATCTTTTCGCCATCCAAACGAGGTGTTTTTCGAGCAAATTCAAGGATTTTCCTGAGGCTGCACATTACGGAGTTGTTTCGCCGCTCATGGCCGCCTTACTGGAAGCGCTCCTAAACTGGATGCAGTACAACATCGCCTTTTTTACAACCAAATGCCATAAACACTGAAGGCAGCAGAAGCTCCCTTAAGCGATGTACTTAGCACTACTTTGAAGATGCTTATTTTGGTTCTTGCACAAAACCGCCTTTCTGGATGATAAAAGGTCTTCTAGGGGATTGGTGTGCTAAGGTCTGCCGGATGGAGGTTGAATTTTGATAAAGTTGCAGGTTCTCCAAGTGGGCGGACTAGTCTCGACGTGAAATAACATCTCTTTGTCTTACACACTTACACAGTGGCATCCTAAACTCCTTCCTTTTATTGAAAAGTTGTACTGACTATCAACCCTGAATGTCACTGCGATCTGTGGCATCACCGTTCCCCTCGAGGGCAGACAGTTGTATTTTATTTTATTCAGTAGTATAAGTCATTCGCTTTGAAATGACCATATACATGAAGGTAACAGTTAAAAATAACACTTTAACTAAAATGGATAAACCCAAGTGTACTGCAGGGTAAAAGATGTGAGGACTCTTACAATAAACCAAGACAACGTCAGCTTCAAAACGTGCAATGTGACGTCTTCGTTTCCTCAAAATTACCCATTCTGTGGAAAAGTGATGCTTACCAGAACCTGTCAGAACTGCTTTCTGGCCCAACGATCTGCCTAACATAAGGGAAAAAAAGTATGATTAAGTGCCTTCTTCCTTCTTTGATGTAGGGTAAAAAAGCAGAAAAGGCATTGCCCCATCATAAAAGTCCCGCGAACTAGTCAATGCCTGTGCGTGCATTTTAGGGTGCGGAATTAGCTACGGATGGGAAAAAAGGCGTTGAACCCAGAGGCGGAGCTTACTTGAAACGCACACCTCCGGTCTTGTCGTGACCTCACTCGCCCGGAGTCGTTTGACCTTGGCGTATCATGTGAGGCGAGAATTTAAGAAAGGTGGCGTAAAGCTCGTCACGACTTCAGCAGCAAGGATTTTATTTTTTAGCCTTTTAGTGTTATTGGACTCCAAAAGCAAAACAATTTTGCTCATTTTATCCCCTTTTAAAGGCAAGGAATGGTAAAAATGACCAGTGACCTTTCATTTGAGAGGACTTAAATATTCCGCAACCTCTTATCTTCTAGGCCTTTCCAAGGTCGCACACATTTTCGAATTATGGAACAATGCGTTCTCTGTTCCCCTTCCACCTCGAACTAACTTCAAGGCATCAAAAGATTAAATTTTGTATTTTTTACAAGTTTGGAGGCCCTATTTTATGGTAAATTAGAGGAGCTGTGACATCCATTTTGCCCGAGGCATACGCGGCTGTAAATAAGTTCCGTTCCAAAACAGCAGCCGTGAATCGAGCCAAGAGGCATTGGAGGAATTACTTTCATTTTTTCAAGTTGCTTTTTTATCAGCCTCCGCAAGTAATTTAACTTGGCAAAGGGTTCTAAAAAAGGCTCCAAAAGTGGATGACGGGTGATTCTATCACCGCTGCATGCCCAACATGACAGACCAGACCTTTGACGAGTAGATGGGACCAATTATTGCACTGAAACACTCACTTGTGCATCAGGTGATTCGATGATAAATGGGTGGAATGGGGTTAAAATCCAATGCTTCCCAAGTTGGCAGTTGGAGGCAAAGTGGACTCCTCCTCTAACTTTATACAGTTCTTGTCACTCAATTCAACTCAAAGTCAGCACCGCAGGTCATCATTGACCCGCGATTGGAGGGATTCAGTGGCTAATCCATTTTAGCATTCAAGAAACGTTCTTCTGTGACTCGATTTTTGCACGTTTGATCCATTAGTTTCCGTAATCCTAGAGAAATTCGGTTGACGGAATGCGACACCTCTTGTAAGTTACCATTTTTGTCGCGTAGTGAATAGGTGATGCTTGGAGATGCAATTCCCACAAAATGAAAGTGGAAATGCGCAACGAATGTGGAGGCGTTTTGTTAATTCATCTTCACCGCAATTTGGTGTTAAAATAGGCCAAGGAATTTGCACTGTAACGCATTATGTTCGCTACAGTGTCCTTTCTCTTGCGCACTATTAGTTACACCCAAAGGCGTGGTCGAGGAATCATGCAAGCAAGTGATTTGCGGCCCTCCCATCCACACCAGAGCATCACAATGATCATCGCCATTTGGAACCGACAAATCGCTCTCCCTCTGTACTGCCAAGCCCTCGTGGGGTGACTTTTGAAGTATGTCTCTATTTTCAAACCCTGTGGTGACTGGCATTTGCACAATGTCTTGAGATCCATTTTTTTGTGTATGTTTATGCAGGAGAGTAAGAAATGCGGAGACTTTTTTGCATCAGGTGAACACCGTTGGGTCATCTCGCGTTGAAAGGTGAGGTGGTTATATTTAAACCAAGGAAGAAAAACATCCAAATTTTTACCCACTCCCTTGTATTAGATGGGAGACTTTATTTCTCTCCCCATCGAGAGTTCAAACAAAGTGTTATGGCAACGTGACTCAATGCCGCCAGTACAAAGTGTGCTCGGATTTCCCCCGCAAAGTAAATTCCATTTAATGTGTTTCTTCCTATTTCATTGTTGTTGGTGCCATTTGCATCACATGAAGTTGCAAAGTTCACAATTTGTGATTGCTTGATGTGAAGGAATGGAGAGTTACAAAACGGTGAAAAATTCTCCACCCACCACACTTCCATCCATCCGCACTGCATTTCTGGCCGTGCGTGGGTGGAAGCGGAGTCACGATTTCTCACCCTCTCCATCAACAGCCCTCCATGCGTTCGTCTGTATCCACGCCCCACGGAAGTATATCTTTCAAGAACACGCATGACTTATTGGGCATAAAATGTGTCACGATGGGCGTTGGAATCAGCGACCACTCACCTACACTTCACATTTCGAGTTTGAGATGGCATTTAAAATAACAACTCAACATATGAGGTCTTAATCCATGTCACATCAAGCATCTCTCAAACTTCATGCAGGCAAATGCATTTCGAGGCTGCCATAACGTTGCTTTGAGGTGTTACGTTTTCTTTATTGCAAGTACCTACGAACGTCTACCATCTTCGTTATTAAAAGCGTTTATTCGTTTTATGGTGCTCATTTCTTTCTAATAGTAACAAATCCCCCATGCAAACGTCCGAAAGCCGACTGGTCCAGTAAATAGGATTTGCCATTTTTCCAGTTTCCATCGTGTGCTGCCTATGAGTCACAGATTGGAAGGAAAGGAGTTAACTTCATCCCACTTTTGAAAGAATACGAAAAGGCAGACTTACTTACTTACTTACTTGCTTGCTTAGTCATGTAGTGACTGCCTCCCGCGGAGGCGTGCACAAGGCAAAAACGGGAAGTTTAGTTCCGGTCTATCGCCTTTTGAAATGCACAATGCAGTAGCTCAGCCACTATGGCAATACCTTTACAATTAAATTGTCAGTCAAAATCATAGTGTTATGAACTTGCTTGTATGCAAGGAATGCTGGTGAAGGCATTTTAGTGGTTGCTGCAATGGTTAAAGATGAGGATATTCTTGAGGAGTAATGTCGCCTAAGGAGTTGGCTTTAGTCTTTCATTCCTCTTTTTCATTAAAGTCTTTTTTCTTAAATTAAAAGTATCACGTGAACAACGAACTTCTTAATCCAATGGGTTATCTAGGTGAGACGATTTCACAATTCCTATGGCTCTTGATTATCAAAATTAGTGCCATTCATGTTTTATGGAATGAGATTTTATCATGATCCTGTACTTGCCTCCCCCCTCCCCACCGGAGATGACAAAAGTAGATAAACGGTGCTAGACACTTTCATTTTGCTCGGATTTCTGCTATGGTAAATTGGCCTCTTATCATTCTTTAATTTCTGAGAAAAAATTTCTCTTTTCGACCCGTATCGAAATCCAAGTGCACCGGACGGCTGTGGAGGAGGTGCTTCACACACATCGTAAGTGATGAAGTTGCCACAAGCACTGATGAAGTGGATGGAGTCAGCATGAGTCACATCGTAAAATAAGGAATTTAATATATGGGTGGATTACAATACCCACGGATCGGATCGAATGTGTCGGATTTGCGCACAACCACACCACAGGACCACCTGGCCAATGGGAACGGTGTCTTCGCAAGCAGTCAGTCTGCGGCCAATGAGATTCAGGGTGCAGAGATTAACAAGCGCACAGCGGAACCCTGTGCAAATGGCGTCTCCATAATTTCCGGTCTCCGTTCGGTTCGTGTATCTCAAAGCAGACGTTAGAACATCGGAGACTATCTCATCCCTCACACACGTACTTTCTCTGCTTTTACATCACTGTTAATCACAATGCCGTCCTTCATGGGGATTTGGATTGCCGTCTTCGTGTTAACTCTCAGCCTCCAAGGTTATGCTGTTCTGGGTAAGTCACACTCCTGGCGCCTCTAGTAGATCTATCTTGTTGTTAGTCATTGTTCAACATTCCAAGAGCCGTTAACTCCTTAGTAACGGTGTCTAGGAGCTAGTGCCCTTCAAAGTCAACATTCTGTATCTCGATGTTCAAAAATACTCATTCATGAGGGTGCCAGTAATCATGCATTGAGGAATGAAGGAATAGTTAGAGTTCTCCAAATGCAGCAGTATTTGATCTTTCTAAGGTTAAAATTTGACCATCCTCTATGAGAGCAATGCCACCACTTGGTCCAGAATGTGAGTTGCTTATAGGAGCTACGAAAAGGCATTTCTTCCAATTAGATTTACTGTTTTCATACAAACGAGTGTTGAGCCTTTGAACTAACCGATCCACATGTCCTCTCTGTGTTCTTTTATTCTGCTGGAAAAGGCAGTAACGCAGTATCAGAGCCCTCAGCATCATCCACATCACACAGCGTAAGATAAACAGAAGTAAAATGTTCTCTCAAGTTAACCTACGTAAACATTAACACCGGTATTTAATACGTACTTTTGTTTACCGTACTCAAATGCCATGAAGGGTGCATTTGAAGTACTTTCGTGGTGCTTCAGCCTCAAACCTGCTATAGTAAATAATTTTGCCTTAGAGGTGGAAGGTAGCTCAATTCCCGGCGAACTCACACCGATGTCAGCAACTTTACCGGATTCGGTGGACACTGTTAAGTTGTTTTTAGTTTACCATTTCGATAAAATAATTGTGCCAGTGGGTTGACGTTTCGGCTGTCAACTTTGAGCCAGCCAACGAATCCCACATTTTCCACACAAAAGAATAATTCGTTACGCATTTTGGATTAGACAAATTATCTCCTCTATTCCTATCTTGTTTCCTCAGTCTTAAAATTTCTTGCAGAGTCTATGCGAGTTGATGAGTCTTGGAGCGTAATGACTTTCACACAGCTTTAGGTCTATAAAGTAATGTTGGGTGAGTGAATGCATTTTTCTTGAAATTTCTGCACTAGGCCAAAACTGGCGAGACCATGTGGAGTACTACCGACGAGATGCTCGTGATTACGATGACTACTGTAAAGTCCTCGTCGGCGGTTGATTATGTAGCCATGTTATTTGTGCATGGAAAAACCACTCGGTCCTACTAAATGCATGAAAACGGCTCACAACATGTTACAAGCTCATCCCACCTCATTGCTCGTGGTCGGATTTGTTATTCCGGTGTTTACAACTCCTACTGCTTATCACTTTACCCGTTATCCCTATTTTTATAACACCTCTAAACCTTCTTCGCTCCCATCCAAATCGGAGAATAGGGTGTCAATGCTGAAGGTGGTATAACTCATCTTCACTGCAATTTTCCGGTAAAACGAGTTGAACTTCTCTTTCATCCTTGCTCCAATAAGGCTCCCGTGCAGTATGGATCGGAGGGTGTACAAACTGCCTACAAGTATTTGTTTGGTGGCAACTGATCCACTGACTGCTTCTGAGCCTCACGCACTTGTGGTGGCGACGAAGCGGTGTGAGTTGTGTATTAAAAGGTGAGCCTTTTTATACCAGATGAGGTAATCTCGCTGGGCGGTGGGCTAGACGAACCGACAGTTCGCCTTACCAAAGGCGAAACCTCCCCAGAGCGCGTCCACGAGGGTGGCACACTCGAGTCGATGTGTTATCTGGAGGATGAAAGAGATGAGGAAAATTATCAATTCACCTGGATTATGCGCAAGGCTGGAGAAGATAAGGTCATCTCCGAGGGCAAAAATCTCTACCTACCCAATGTAAACGCCGACACGTTCAGAGATCCCATCTTCTGCATCGTTGAGCGTTTGGACGACGGCGAGGTCTTTGAGAAACAGATCGCTGTTGAATATTGTAAGGCTGTGCACGCTACTCTCCCTATGCTACGCTAATCAGATGTGGGCTGAACTAGGGCTTTCACAAGCTTTACATGTTTCTCCTTGTTTCACTTACACTCCCTTTTGTTTTCTGTGCCCATGTCAACCTTTCCTATCTGCATGCTTCGTTACTTACCTAGCCTTGCTGAAGCTGCATCTCTTGCTACTGTTGTGACTGCACATTTTGACCGCTTTCAACACTCAACCTGTTCTCATTTTCGGCCCAACTTCAAACTGTTGGCAAAACTGTGTTAGCCTTGAAAAATTAAAAAAAAAACAATGCCACAGCGCAGCTCAATATATATAAGAGAACTCCAAATGGAGGATAGTCAGCATATGCCTGGCTAACCAAACATCCTAAATGTAACCAAGTGAGATTAATGTTGGAAAGGCTTTAGTTGGCAAACAGGTTAGAGTGAGGCCTGAAAATGAGACAGGAGGTAATGAGAGGCATGCACGTGAAGATACGCGAGTGGAAATAAAGGTAAAAGCAGAGGTTTATCTTGCCTCTCTACAGATGGTCCAACACAGACACGAAATTTGGAGATTCGACCTATGCCGTCGGAGGACATGGCAAGCGGTCGCGTGGTACGCAAATGCGAAGTGGTGCCAACTCCACCGCCTAACGAAATCTGGGAATACACCTGGTCGGATCCCAGTGGACGCATTGTCTCCGCCGGCGATATCCTCTCCATCACGGTCAGTAGTCTCTTCACCATGCCTTGCACTCCCTCGGTTTAAGTAACTACCCTTTAAAATGCACCTTCTCAGCGAGGAAAGGTGACTCCCCATCCATTGCTGTCGGTGGCAGCTTCTCTTGATAGGTTGCATTGAATTAGCCCACCTCTATTAAATGCAAATAGCGGATTTACTCGGATCAGTAAATAGGTTATTGAAAGTGCTGTTCACACAAAAATCGCCAATCTTTTGATTGTCATTTGTTGATTGTGAGGATTCGTGTGGCCTTCTCATTGGTATATCGCCCTTTCAACTGCAATAAGATTGCATTTAATTGCGGAGTAGTGCTGATATTAATGAATGTGACGGTGGATGGGACGTCGATCTTCCTTTATGACCTTTTCAAACTAAGGAATGGCTCCAAATTGTGCCAGTGATGATTGAAAATTTTTCACCACATAGAGAATACATAAAGTCCTTCCTTCATTGCTCTTTCAGGTTACAGGAGAACAGCCCTCGGTGACGTATACTTGCAGGGCTAAAAACCTGCGCACCAACGACTATCTGCTCGGCCACTTTACCGTCCACGCCAGAAATGTTCCAGGTTATTTTGGCGTCCTATATGTCTGTTTGGTTAACATCCAACTCCTAGAATTGTTTGCTTCGTTTCCTATTCTCTCATAACATCAGAATGCCAAGCCTTCTGGAACCAAACGAATTGTTTAGATGGGCATATGACTAATTCCTGGTCAAGCATGAGAAGGCTTAATCATTGATTCAGCCGCTAGCCAGAGGAAGTGCTTGTATATTTGTGTTTTTGCTGCTTATTTGGTTCACGAAAACCGTTTGGGTAAACGGTTCAAGAGTCTTCGTACTTGGAAGGAAATAAGCAAGACTGCATTACTTGGTGCCTTCATCAAATGCTTCATTAGCTATAAACTTACCTTTTATACTTTCCTTCATTTATGTTTGTTAGCGTTACCTCTATTTTATGTGGTTCAAATGTGTGTCCAACAGGCTCAATAAGCTACAGCACGCTAATTGAACCGATTTCACGAGCGCTGGAGTTCGGTCGACCCTATGAGGCCCGATGCAAAGTTCAACCACCCCCTCCAGAACCGGTAGCATACACATGGTACTTCAGGAACCGCGTAGTGAGTGAATCCGATCACCTCTACCTTCCTGACTTCAACCGTGATACTGCGGGTGAGTACATCTGCACAGCACGACCTGCTTACAATGGACGTGGACGCACCTATGCCAATGCCACTCTCACCGTTCGCCTCAAGGCCTCCAGTGAGCCTCGTACTGGTAAGCTCCACTTTCACTTAAATTCTTTGCCAAATAAAACCAATGCATATTTTAAGAGAAATAGCCGAAATCCTTCCACGTTGAAGCGTCGCTTTAATCAGCTAACTTGACTTTGGTACTGTAAGCTAACAAACATGTTTTTTTACACGCAGAACTCCGTAGACCTCCAGGTTCAACTCTAATCACCAACGTTGGTGAGAGACGTGAGCTTCATTGTGAGATTCCCATGAATGACCGTAATGCCATCAGATGGTATCTTAATGGAACTATCATTGATGCGAATTCCCCTGCTAACCGAACCGGACACCTCCAACGCATCGACTACAGCCGTGTCAGCATCATGTCCATCGACGGTATTGAGGAGAACCACGAGGGCCAGTGGGAGTGCAGGACCGATACTGAGAGGAAAGTTGTGGATGTTATTGTTGTTTGTAAGTGGGACTTAAACCGCCATATTTGTTTGATTATACCAAGTCTATATGAGTTGGTTAACATAAGGAAACATTATTTAAGAGAATAGTGGGTAGAGTGTGAGTATGATTGATTAAAATTTGTGAAAATGCAATTCTTGCAGCCGAATACGATCTGGAGGTAAATCCACCGCTGTACGTACTGAATGAAGGAGAGAAAATGGAAATCCACTGCAGTGCTCAGGGAGCTCACGAGATCAGTAATACAGACCTGGAGTGGTTCTTCCGACCTGTGGGATCTAGTAGTCTGCAGCCGCTTGATTTCGGACCTGGAGGTTTTGTTCGAACAGATGATCCACGCGCTAGGTATACCAGTGTCATCACCAAGTACCACGTCACTGCTCTTGATGAGGGCGAGTATGTCTGTCGCGAACCTCGTGGACAGACTGGTTTCAGCAGTCTTCAAATTCGTAAGCACATTCGTTTTTCTCCCTTCTTTTCTGCTGTCCAAATAAATGAGCATTTATCACCACTTTCGGTGCCATCCACTGCAGACATATGTTAGTCATTCATCCTCAACAAAATACCAAAGCATCTATGAACAAAGGAGCAATTTCAGATGTCGAATCATGAGGAGATACTCTATCATAAGACTGTAGTGGAAGAACTTGCAGGAACTATTATTGTACCTTCGCCTGCTAAACTAATTTCCTTTGATTTTATTTCACTCCATGTCGGTTTTATTTTGTTTTACTTATTTATTTGAGTAGGGTGTTTAAAGTGGAAAAAGCGACTGCATTTTTGACTAAAATTTGAAGGTTTCATCCAATGACTTGAGTTTGTCCTTTTCTAGCTGGTTAAATTGGATGCGTTTGGCACGCAAGATGCGAATAAGTCCAAGCTTGCTCATACCTTTTCCCAAATCAACGACAAATTATTACATTTTTCGACCCTTCAACATTGTCCACAGTTTTGCCAATAGTTTTTCAGTTAAGATTCATGATTGGTCACCTTAGAGACATCATATTTTCTTCAGGCCGACCCATGCCTCACACTCTACACATCACACCGGGTGTCATCAAAGTAAGACCTGGGCAGGATGTGAAATTCCTCTGCTACTCTATGCAACTGGACCGTCGAACTCGTGGACCACGTCCAAAGTTGCGAGCCTATGATAGCCGTCTTCCACTTCGCATTACTGAAACTGCTGATGACGCCGTCAGCGGTAGTGTCATTCGAATTGATCCTTCCTTCAACGGAACTGTCGTTGAGTGCTACTCCGACGTAAGTGCATCAAAGCCTTTAAAAGGGCAAACGTGGTTTTACAGTCATGCTGACGAGAGGTGGATTAGTGATTTTAAACCAGGCAATTTTCTCTTCCACATTCTTAGTTAGAGCTAATGGAACCTAGTCTTGCTGCTAATACATATTGTTGTGATCACACATGAACAAATATTGATAAAATTATTAGCTATTGGGTAAAATCTGTCTCATTCGACCCATTCATACTACATTTTTTTTTGTTACGGGGAATAAGATGCCCAACATAGAACCGGTGAGAGCTACAATTCAAGTTGAAGATGTCTGTCCACCCGGTTATCGCCGTTGTCGCAATGGTGAATGCCTCGAGGCCGGACGTTTCTGTGACGGAAATCGTGACTGTGCTGATGGTAGTGATGAGGATCAGTCCCTTTGCTGTAGGTCTCGCCACTAAATTCGCCATCTCCTACCATTAAGAAGAGTAGTTACTCTGATTAAATCTGTCGTTTCGAAAGCAAATTGGTATGTTTGTATTCGCAGCCATTTGTGATCCAATCGTAATGAAATGCGAGACGTATCGTGGTCAACCGCCCCGCAAGTCCTCCTATATGGTTCATTGGCAGTGCGATGGAGAAGACGACTGTGGTAACGGCTATGATGAGGCTAACTGTCAAGGTAGGTCTATCACTCATACTGTCATGCAAATACACCGAGTGTTCGGTTAGTTTTTTGACTACTCCTTGCGCTGCAGACCCGTCAATTAATTTCTGCGTGAAGCAGCAGTACACCTGTCCATCCTCCGGTCTCCAAATTCCTCGTGCCTTCATGTGTGACTCCGATCCTGATTGTGACCGCAATGAGGATGAAGAACAATGCAGTAAGTTGTACTGCTTGTGCTGTACATAAAGTGAAATTTCTCTTGCTCATTCGCCTGGGAAACACTCACAGGAGAACCACAAATTCTCGACACTCCAAGAGGTCAGTATGCTCACCGTCGTGGTGATACGGTGACCTTGACCTGCGAGGTAGCCGGTCGTCCCAATCCACGTGTCATTTGGCGTTTCAACTGGGGCTGCCTGCCTGACGATGGCCGCCGAATGACCGTACGCAATTTTGCGGAAAATTGTGGAACCCCCAACGAGAAGACCATCTCCACACTAACAATTAGCAACTTCATGCCAGGCGACGATGGTATATACAACTGCGAGGGTCTCAACGGCCTCAAACGCGCGATGTCACGAGACTACACTGTCATTCTCACTGACTAAGATGTTTTTCACTTATACACACCGCAATTAGTTGTAAGTAAGTTTATGATTTCATCTGTGATCAACACTAAGATATTCTCTTTATAGTAAGCAAGATGCCAACTTTCCAACCATCTTTTTCTGCATTTTTAGGTGTTTCTTCTCAAGTAGCGGCTTTTCCTCGCATGCATCACCACCTCACTTACAATAAACACTCTTCTAATGCTAATAATATGCAATTTGACAATCTAATGTTTTTTTTTCAAAGACTGATCTCATTTCAAAGCCCTTAGATATATTTCTGTTTGTTTTGTTAGGGCTATTAGATTTCTATGGTTTGCTCCACTCTCTTTCCTATCTCTCTTTCCGTGTTTCCACTTCTCCCCTTATTATTTCTCCTATAGGCAATAATCACCGTTGATAATGCATCAAGAATTTTATCTTTGAGTGCGTTCTTTCTAGACTCCATGGCATAAACTTGAGGGGTGGGAATGCGTAATGTTGGTGCATTCAGTAAATTGACAAGTTACTAGATCGGAAGAATATGTGTTACCGCCGTTCAGGGGGGCTGGAATGGAAGGAAGATGATGGTGTGGCTTGGAGGCCAAGACACTGGCAAGGACGAGGTCTTAAGCGTCCTTGAAGCGGAACCATATAGTTGTGTTACCAAAATATCCCGATATTGACACCTAGAGGAGTGGGAACCAATAAGGTTAATGCTCTCCTGCCACTGCTCTCTCAGGGTAGCCTGAGTGACCATTGGAGTGGAGGCAGATGTGTAAATGAAGACTTTTATTGCTTATGTGTTAAATTCTGGTGTTATGAGAGGCCTTACAACGTGTGGTGCAACTAGGCTCATGGCGATTAACACGAGGGTCTGCCTGTGGTAGCGGGCACGTCTCACCGAAAATTTTGCTTCCACGCCTCCCATTGCTACTTAAAGAGCAATAAAATCCCGTACCATATAGAACAGTTTCAGAGCAATGCAAAGTCCTTTGCAACCTTAAAGACGCACTAAGCGAAACCGTTGACGTGATGGGAAAAAGCTTGAGTACTGCGTTCTCCACTAGGTGCCATTAATGTGTGATAGTTAAGATGTTTGGCAGTTTAATTTGTCACAATTATGGAACTTTCATCAGGATTACTATTTACGTTGCAAAAAAGAAATTAAAAATTTCTGACCACTGGGCTCGGCTTCCTAGAAGAAACGCGGTCACACCGCCTAGCGTCTATGCACAAAATCCAAGCACCACTAAGACGTTAAGTTGCCTCAAATGAACGAAGTCTTGTTCTTTTTGCTTGAATTAGTTTAGAGCTCACTTACTCTAACCTTAGGAGAGCCAAAGTCTAGCCAACCCGCCATTTTTATAACTTACGTAGGATTCTTCTCTTTGATTTTTGAAATGCCCTAAGGCGAAAAGATTGAAGTTAACTTCCTTGAAAACATTTAATCCATGAATCGTATTGCTTATTACGAACGGGAAAGAAGCCGTACAGAGGGTAAAATATGAGCTGTCGGCAAATGCAAGGCTGGAGGGCAGAAAGGGATTCGTTTGTAATTCTGCGGTCCAGCTGTCAGACAGGAGTAGAAGTGGAGTCGCCTTCGCCAAGCGTTGCTCTCAAAGTGGCCATGGTGGGATTTAAGGCTATACCAACAGAGATTGCTTTAAAGATTTTTCTTATGTTAGACCTAGAAGCTCACTGACTCGACTGTGAAGGTGTTCATATGCCAAGAGGATAGCCAGATCTCATGAATTTTCTGTGCAAAGACGAGGTATTAATGGGGTAAAGGTAGATACAGACATCATTAACGCTTGAAAGCTACTGTCGATATGTGTCTGCCACCAAAATAAATGCGGACCTTAACACAACCATTAATCTCAACCAGTAGTGCAATGACTGCTAATTTTAATGCGTGGCCACAAGTACTTTATTGGTCGAAGAATTATAGTGCAAGGATAAAATGCATCGCCTATACCTGAGTGCAGCAAACACTTTAAATTAAAGAAAAACTACTGTGAGAATTCCACCTACTTTACCCCATTAGAACCTTTGCCCTCACCTCAGTCGCACGGGCTATCGGTATGACCAGGCTTTTTTGGACGGTACCAATGCATGAATTAGTCACCGGAATGGCCGCCAATTCGGTAGTCCGAGGTCTTCGCTAGCAATTGACCGCTGTAAGTCATGCTAGCTGCATTTCTGTGATGCTCCATTCCACCTCCACAGTTTGAGAGAGACCCATACAACTGAATTAATCAACCATCCCTTGCTTGGATCGATGGAGGTCCACTCAATTCCTTTCTGCACAGATTACATTTCCATAGCTTGGCTGACATCTTGATAAGCTTGTTAAGGGAAGGTGGCCTTTCGTCCACAACGCGACGTCAATGCAACTCGTCTTTATGGCTTAAAGCAAATTCCATCTTACTACTCGCTTTCTGAGAGAGAAATGTACTATGAATTTTCGTTTCAGAGGTGAAAATTGGAAAGGAAGAAACCTCTTTAATCGTAGTTTCAATTACAGTTGCGATTGAAAGGTGCACATGATGGGCAAAAAGCTCGCTCCGAGTGTTGTCTGCTTTGCACGTGGTCCAAGAGCCTATACGTTTGACCAGTTTTGTTAGATTAAACACTCTGTTGAATGCACTTCCACATCCAATCCAGCGTATCTAGCTAAGTAAAAGCGCAACGCTCATAGTTTCATTCCAATGGTCCGTGTTTTTGGTTTAATCCCTTTCAACGAAAATCGAAATCCATAAGCTTCAAGCTGCCGTATCCAATCAGTGATGACCAGGATGGGCACTGCTGTGTCCTGGATACCCATAAACTGCAGGCCGTTGCGAGGCCACCAACAAATGGGGGAGGAATGCACTAAGGTGATTTTAAATCCCATCCCTACAGGCGCATGCGAAGAGGGCTGTCGGTGCCCGTCGCACATGCGGCAGTTATCGATTTTTCCCCACCTGTGTGCGTGCCCGTCCGCCCACGCCCTCTAATTGGACGCTGGGCCAGCGGACTAAACCAGGGTGTGTGCGTTTGCAGCTATCCATAAATGGACATGATGGAGAGGTATAAGAATCTCTTGGTAGGACACCAGTGGCACATTTGGACAAGCGCGTTGGTAACTTGCGTCTTGTGCTGCATCTGCATCAGCTACCTTCGACATGGGTGATGAAGAGGTTCAGGCTCTCGTAGTTGAC